CAGGATGACTGGTTGTGCCCAATGTTTTGTGCTAGTTCTCTTAAATGTTGGATGTCACCTTTAGCTTCCAGTCAGGTTTGCATACCCCCCAAAATTCTTCACAGCCATGGTTCTCCTTAGTACATGACCACTGGCTGCCCAGTTTCAAGGGTTGTTTCCTGCCTTAACTCTTAATTCAGTGCATCCAGGTTTGTAATGCCCAACTGCCAGGCTATTAAATTTTCTTTAAATTGCACATAATGAGTTCTAGGAATCCCAATCTGAGCTCAACAGTGCAAAATATTCAGGGCATAAGTTTGGGATTTTTTCTATTGCTTCCTTAGTCATGGCATATGAATTGCAAATCACCTGAGGGGGCCTAGTTCCCTCCCCCTTGTTATCTGTTGGAAGTTGATCCCTCAAAGCTTTGGTACAACAGAGCAAAAATCAGCCTGGGGAACTTCACTAAAGGTAGGTGGAGGGGATAGACTCAAGTGTGATTCTGAATGGTGTCTGTGTGTGTGTGCATGTATGTGCAGCTACTTTTACAAAATAGTCAACACAAACATTCTGGATAAATTTTCCCTCCCACCAGATAGAAGTCCAAGGTGTTCAGTACTTGTTCTGCCACCTATTTCTAAATGCCATCTCTCCATTAATACATTCAACTGGCTTGTTACAATACAAATGGGGCAAGAAAGAAAAGTTTACAATGAGTTTCCACCCTCCCCCCACAGTCTAATTTTCTCTTCTGAGGCTTCACATGGCATCAGTGGCTCCAGGACTGCTTCCTTCTGCAGCTCTCACAGGCATCTGGGTAAATGGTAGGACTTGGAAAGATGTTCCACTTAGATTGCATGGTGGCTTTTTAGTGGATGGCTGGATTCAAAACTCAATTCCATGGCTCAAATGGAAGGAGGCAGCATCTGGGTCTGTGTGTTCTGCTTCCAAAGGCTTGCAAGAGGGTTTCAGGGCTGAAAGATACAAGAACAAGGTCTTCCCCCCCCCCCCCGCTTTCTGGGTGGACTCTACCAGGAGAGGCAGACAAAAGGTATGGAGAACAAAGGGCAGGAAAAGAATTGGAAGGGGGGGTAGCTTGCAGGCAGTTTGAAAATGCTGAAAACTCCAAATAATTTTAAAAGCCTAATATTTTAAGATGTGCAACTTGCCAAGGGTAGGAGAACATTTATTCTAAAATAGACCACATTATTTTAGAGATTAGAAAATGCTTATTTGTTTCAGAAAAGTTTCATAGTAGTTTCACCAGTAAGTGATAGGATAAGAAAAGTAACTTAGGAAAATTATTTCCCCACACAAGCAGACTTGAGCTTCAAAAGGCTCTTGTAGATAGACACACATTTTTCAGGAAAAAGATAGATAAAACAGATACAGTAAATGCAAGTGAAACTTTTCCAACAGATAAACTTAAAGCAATCCCTCCTAGTAACTTAAGGCTGTTCTTGAGCATACACAGAGACAGAGAAAAACAAACAAACAAACACAATTCTTTTTCTTCATTCTGTTTGTTGGCCAGACAAACAGAGTGAGGTATTTCCTTTTTGTGGCTTATTTTAAGCAGAATTTCTAGCAGAATTTAAAATTCTTTTTCCTTTGGATTTGAAACAGTTAACAGTCACATTTATCTCTCATGCACAGACTTTGACAAACATATATACACAAAGACAAGAGAACAGAAGTCTTAGTTTTACACATCCTAGTCATTCCCACCATAAATTTCAGATAACTCAAGTTAGGGAAGGCACACATTTTAAACATACCATGTGGTTGCATAGAGAAGAGAGAGAGAGAGAGAGAGAGAGAGAGAGAATCACTATTTCTTATTTTCCCTTTTAAGTACCTTTATTTAGCCAAATTGGTTTCCCAGCAAGGCCCTAAGCAAAGTCTATCTTTCTTTCATACACTCTACAGTCAAAGTCTCCTTGTGAGACTTCTTTCCTAACTTTGCATTGCTTACAGGGCCTTACCAGCTAGTTGCCCAAATCCAATTCTTTCATTGACTCATTCCATTTCATTTTCACACAGTCTCTCCGTTTTCCCTAACAAAAGGTTCTGTGCTCTGGCCAACCCCCATGCTGTCCAGGTTCTGCCAATTAAACAGATCCTTTCTGCGGCTAGGAAAGACCAGAAGCAGCAAAATCCAATTGTGAGTGTCTACAATAGACTTTATGGTCTCTATAACGGTTTGAGGATCCGCACGAAAGGTGGCAGTATCCTTTTTCCAAACAACCAAATCGGACGGGGAGAAAGGGGTATGGATTAAAATGTGTCCTGTCTGGCCCCTCGGTCACCCGGGTATGGGCCTGTTCAACAAGGGGGCCATGAAGGTCGGTTCAGGGTTATCTAAGGGAGGCTGGGGGTCCAAGTTGACTTGGGTCGGGTTCCTCTGTCTAGACAGTTCGGCCCAGCAATACCAGTATGGTAGTTGGGTTGGCTCTATCCTTGACCTAAGTTCTTTTAGTGTTCTGATTTCTAGGGTGCCACCTTCAGGCCAAATTTGTCTCCCGCGGTCATCTTTAAGCAAAGCCCATTTCCTACATAATTCCTCTAATCGCTTCTTCTTCATTCCAGCCTGGACAGGAAGCTGATTCCTGTCCCAGGCTTCGAGCAAGCTCTCAATTGGGAAACCCACTTCGGCCCTTGAATTGGAACTCCCCATTCTTTTATAACGGGGTTTTCCTTTCAATGTTAAAGGGTACTAACAGTCGAAGTCTCCTTGCGAGACTTCTTTCCCAATACAGTCGAAGTCTCCTTGCGAGACTTCTTTCCCAATACAGTCGAAGTCTCCTTGCGAGACTTCTTTCTCCTAATACAGTCGAAGTCTCCTTGCGAGACTTCTTTCTCCTAATACAGTCGAAGTCTCCTTGCGAGACTTCTTTCCCAATATAGTCGAGGTCTCGGAGGTGAGCGGCCACCTCCGCTCAGGGCTACTGCTTTAATATTTACTGGCAGAAGGGGTCCTGGCTTACCCAGAATAGGGTTCTCTTTCTCTGCCCGCTCGGTCCTCCTCTCTCACCAGAAGGTCTCACGCTCCGATGCCCCCCCCTTGCTTTCCCGAATCCTGCCGGTCACGGCTCCAGTAGAGCTAGCAGCAGGTCGGGGTGCGGCTAGAGGGCACACGGAGGGAGCGAGCTCCAGCTGATTCTAAGAGGAGGATGCCTCACACACACACTCATGCATTCTTCCTTTCGTTCCCCCAGACACTTTAACCTAATAGATTTAAATTTGGTGGCACTTACCCTCTTTCCTGGTAGCTGTTCGAGCGTAAGACTCAAAAACTCCCTTTACTACCCGATGCCGACCAGGCAGGGTCCGAGGAGGCTTCCCCACGGATCAAAGTGTCCGCTGCCGGCTGGGTGATGACTCTTCCGGGCCCGGTCCGGTGGCTGGGTGAGCTGGAAGTCCCTTCGTGGTCGCCAGATTGTTGGGAGGAACTCCCCCGTTCGGTCCTTCCAGCCGGGAGTCCCCTTGACGGCACAGTGCAGAAGAAATAGATCGTGAAGCCAGCTACCAGAAAGAGGTTTAATTTCGAGGATCAGCGTTGAGTGACAATTCAGCTCGAGTCCCCGGCTAGCTAGACAGAATGATCTTTAAACAGGGGTTTTTATACTCTTTTGTGGTTTCCAAACTTGTCATTTCTGATTGGTAACAAACTTACCATTTCTAATTGGTGAGTTAAAATTTGTCTTTCTTGATTTGCTGGTTTGTGACTATTGTTAGTTCCTTTTTCTTGCCTAAAGGTGTTAATTACTTTTATTGTTGTGTCCTGATTGCTGCTAGCTGGTTCCTCATTGTGTGTGTCAAGTGTTTGCTGTTTTAGCCTCAGGCTGCTGTTGACCCAGTTTAGTTGGGGTGTTCCTAGATTATTTCTTAGTTGGGCTGGGGAGGGGGTGTCCAACTCTCATCAAGACTGCACTGCCACTTGTCTGGAATGGTATAGGGCAGACATGTCAAACAAAGGCCCAGGGGCCGGATGCGGCCCGTGAAGTGGTTTCATGTGGCCCGCGAAGCCATGCTGGAAATGGCCCCCTCTGCCTTGGCCCTGGCCCAGGCCAGCTGAGAACCAATGTTCAATTTTGTGGTGGCCATCTATGCTGAAACGTATTCAGTCTTAGCTCCATAAGCCCCCCCCTGCATGGCCTGAGAGGAACAGTGAAGCTCCTCCAGTGGACCATGCCTTGGCACTTGCCCTGGTCCCACCCCCTTCTGCCAGAGACCCTCAGATTTATCCCACTCCTGCCCAGGCCCCCACAGGCACCTTTGACATGAACAATGTAAAGCTGGCCACACCCACCCAGTAGGCCACACCCACTCCATGCACGCCCACCCAGTAGGCCGCACCCACCCTGGCCATACCCACCCGGCCCCCTGAGGGCAACCGCAATGCTGATGTGGCCCTCAATGAAATTGAGTTTGACACCCCTGGTATAGAGTCTTCTGCCTGAGCAGGGGGTTGGATTATAAGACCTCCCTAGATCCTTTCCAGTCCTATTATTCTGTTATTCTGTGTCCATTGTCTCTGGATCCAAAAGTACCAGATGTTATGGTTCCGGCTAATGAAACACTTTAAAGAACTTCCAGGCATATTTTCCTAAAAGTCATTTATTGTTACAAAATGTCGGCGCAGGCATAACAGAGGTATGCCAAGATCTAAAATCTCTTCCCGTGAGCAATTAAATTATCAGCATGTTCCCTCCCCAAATTAGCTGCCATCTCTCTCTCTTTCCCTTTAACCTCTTCTGCTCTGCATTAACTCTAAAAATACCAGACAGCTCTGCATATTGTCAAAGCAAGAATATACAGTATTTGCAGCGTTGACACCAATTACCTGGCCACCTGATCCTTGCTCTGACACTTGGCAAAAAAACCAAATCCGATCTGTTGAGTGATATAGTTTTATTTTGTACTCTGGATTTAATTCTCCCAGATACACACACTTCTATCTGCAAATATTAAGGCAAGAGCTCTTTTCTGAACCTCTCTTGGTGTTTTTGTTTCCCCAGCTGAATCTTGTCCTCAGATGCCCTGCAAGAATGGCGGAACTTGTTTGAACCACTCCAACGGGACATCTTCCTGCGTGTAAGTTTTTTGGGGAAAAGTGTCAAGATTCCCATAAAGGTTAAAACTGTATGACAAGCAGAGCCTCTACAGCAGGGGTCTTCAAACTTGGCCCTTTTATGACTTGTGGACTTCAATTCCCAGAATTCCTCAGCCAGGCACGCATGCCTGGCTGAGGAATTCTGGGAGTTGAAGTCCACAAGTCATAAAAGGGCCAAGTTTGAAGACCCTTGCTCTACAGAGAGATTTCTCCCCTGGTTGATTTTGTGTACAGGAAACAATGCTGCTATTTCTGTCCATCACAAGAAGGCAGAGGGTGAAGCTGAGCTAGGAATTCAATTCATGCTGTTTCTGGCCAAACATGTACAGGAGCAATAGTTTCCAGCCTATTGTACAGCCACGGTCCAGGAGATACCTTATATACTTGTGTATAAGCCCATCCATGTTTAAGTTGACTCTCGGTTTTTTAACCAACATGCAGATAGTCCTCGACGTACAACTGCAATTGAGCCCAAAATTTCCGTTGCTAAGCAAGACAGTTGTTAAGTGGATTTTGTTCCATTTTACGACCTTTCTTGCCACAGTTGTTAAGTGAATCACTGCAGTTGTTAAGTTAAATTAGTAACACTGTTGTGAAGTTGAATCTGGCTTTCCCCATTGAGTTTGCTTGTCAGAAAGTCGCAAATGCGGATCATATGACTTGCAACATTGCAACCATTATAAATATGAATCAGTTGCCAAGCGTCTGAATTTTGATCCTGTGACCGTCAGGAGGCTGCAATGGTCATAAGTGTGAAAAATGGTCATAAATAATTTTTTTTGGTGCTGTTGTAACACTAAATCAGTGGTTCTCAACCTTTCTAATGCCGTGACCCCATAATACAGTTCCCCATGTTGTGGTGACCCCCAAATGGGTGTGGCCACCAATAAGAGGGAGTAGGACAGCTAGGGAAAAGGGAAAAAAATGGCGGACAGCGTGGTTTGGCGACCCCCGTGAAATGGTCGTTCGACCCCAAATGGGGTCCCGACCCACAGGTTGAGAACCACTGCACTAAATGAACTGTTGTAAGTCGAGAAGTACCTGTACTGTGAAAAATGCATCCATTCAGGATAAGCCGACCCTCAAAATGTTTGAATGTTTTAATTTTCACAATTGGCCTATCTGTGGGTAATGTACGGATTATCCAATTTTCACGGCAGCTTGATTAAAAATTCAAGGGATTATCTATGGTTGGGCTTATATGTGAGTGTATAGAACAGGGGTAGGCAACCTCGGCTCTTTTATGACTCGTGGACTTCAACTCCCAGAATTCCTGAGTCAGCATGGCTCAGCCTGGAAACCTCTCCCTTTCCCCTCAGCATGGCTGGCTCAGGAATTCTGGGAGTTGAAGTCCACCAGTCATAAAAGAGCCAAGGTCGCCTACCCCTGGTATAGGATATATGGGTACTTTTTAAAAGTATTGCCGTACATATCTGTTTATAAGCTGAGCCCAATTTGGGAAGTGCAATTCTTATTTAATTTTGAGTATATACGGTAACCCCCTCTCTCTGGAGGTTAGAGCAAGGGAGATGAATTTGCACCCCTTTTCACCCCAACTCACTCAATCTTTTGGACCTTGAACTATGGTATCTTGCTTCTACTCTACTAACAACGGCAAGCACCATATTAAGTAGGGCATTTAGTTTATTTTTGGCTTCCCTGAACCTGTCCAGGGACACTCACTGTAGTAAAGCAGAATGTGGTTGAGTTAAGATTGTATTACTGCAACCCTTGTGGTTTATAAGCTTCTGGGCTTAGCGGTTTGTCTGAACCAGCACAGCAGCAAACCTTGATTAACAAGTTACAGCAATTAACAAGTTAGATTTATATACCGCTTCACAGTGGTAGTGCAGTATATTCAGGCCTTGTGCAGTCTTAGAGTTTCAGTTACAATTCCCCATAAGGCTAGCCCTCAGTTAACAATGGCAGCTGGGATCAGAATTGCTGTCGTTAAGTGATGCAGTCATAAGGCACAATGTCATGTGACTGTGCTGCTTAGCAACAGCAGTTCCAGAAGTCTGGTTGCCATAGTTAAGCAAGGGACGTGTTAAGTGAGGAACTTACATGACTGCAACTTCTGACTTCCTGCTGGCTTCCCCAATGATTTCCTTATGGGAAGCCAGCAGAGAACACAAGAAATCCTAATCATGTGACCCCAGGATGCTGCAATGTTGGAAATCCAAAAATTGGTCATAACTCACCCTTGTTCAGGGTCATCTCAAGCTGAAACTGGCTGAATGTGTGGTCATAAGCTGAGGACTATATATTTTTCCTAATGCTCTCCATCCTAGCTCCAGATTAAGTTGAAATCTTAAAAAAAAACACCCCATTTTGTTTCTATCGAGTTATTTTTTTTGTGTGGCTTCTCTGTTTCCTTCCCACCTTCTGACTGCCACAGGTGCCTTCCTGGCTACGTAGGAGACACGTGCCAGTTTGCAGACCCCTGCGCCCCTGTGCTTTGCCAGAACGGGGGCACCTGCTACTCCAGGGCTCTTCTTCCTCCAGCCTCCCCTGAGTATATGTGTGTCTGCCCTCCTGGTTTCACTGGGGAGAAATGCCAGGGCGTGGTTGGTGATCCCTGCTTCCCGTCACCCTGCCAACATGGAGGGACATGCCAGCGGATCTCCCGGAAGGAGCATCAATGCCAGTGTCTATCAGGATGGACAGGTAAGGCAATCAACTGGGAATGTTGAAGTTGCCCCAGGTCATGTGATGCGACGCAGGTAAAAAAAACTTAGATTGTCCTACTAAAGGAGAAGATTTGTAGCTCAGGGTTGACACAAGGGATCCTTGGTGCTCTCTGAGCTTCTTGTTTTCTTGTAAACGTTTCATAACCCAAACTAGGTAACATCATCAGTAAGGAGTGAGGCTTGCTGTTAGTTTATATTCTAGTGGCTTTGCCCTGTCGATGTTGGTGGGGAGCGTCTTAGAGCAGAGGTCCCCAACCTTTTGGGCACCAGGGACCGGTTACATGAAGAAAGGTTTTTCTGCGGACCGGAGGGGGGCGTGATTTTGTGTGCTGCCTGCATCTTGCAGATGGAGCTTGGCTTGTTTGTGCAGCCCGGTTGGGGACCCGGTTCTTTGGTTAGGCCAGGGGTAGGCAACCTTGGCTCTTTTATGACTCGTGGACTTCAACTCCCAGAATTCCTGAGCCAGCATGGCTCAGCTTGGAAGCCTCTCCCTTTCCCCTCAGCATGGCTGGCTCAGGAATTCTGGGAGTTGAAGTCCACGAGTCATAAAAGAGCCAAGGTTGCCTACCCCTGCCCTATCCGAAACTCTCCAGGGCTTAAGGCTGAATTCTTTCAGTACCTTTCCTAGCCATCTTTTGTTTATAAAAGATTCATCTCCCTTTTTCCATCAGTTTCACCCACTGTTCTCCAACTGGATGCTTTTCAGATAGAAGGATTTACATTATCTGTCCTTTATCTGTCCCTTTGCCTTCACATTTGTCTCACTCCAAAGCAGTATAAATTGAATTTAAGGGGAAAAGTCCAATAAAAATGGCTAAAAAGCCAGTTTGGTCTAATGCAGGGGTAGGCAACCTTGGCTCTTTTATGACTCATGGACTTCAACTCCCAGAATTCCTGAGCCAGCATGGCTCAGCTTGGAAACCTCTCCCTTTCCCCTCAGCATGGCTGGCTCAGGAATTCTGGGAGTTGAAGTCCACGAGTCATAAAAGAGCCAAGGTTGACTACCCTTGGGTTAGGCTGTTTAATGTTGGCTTCTGTGGCAATTTCTTGATTGAGGTATTGTTGACTTCATTGTTGGTTTGACGTTAACCTTGAAGTAAATCTGCGCTGATGTGGGTGCTGATTGCTGGTGAAGAGGTGCTTGGGTCTTTTTGTTCCCTTCTTGGGCTGGTTGATTGTCTCTTTTGCAAAGTCTATATACATGTTGTTAATGTCTATGTGTCTATTGATGGCTGATTTGTCAGGGTGCCAAACATCCCAATCAAAGAACCAGCCCTGACAGGGCAAGCCACCAGTATATAAACTGATAGCAAAGGGCACTCCTTACTGTCTATGGAGATTCTCACTCATCCAGGTCACTGTTATCCCAAAGGTGCTTTTTCACAAGGCAACTGGACTTTCTTGTTTTCCTTTGAAGACATTTCACTTCTCATTCAAGAAGCTTCTTCAGCTCTGACTGCATGGTGGGGAATGGAAGGATTTATGACCAGCTATCTGCAAGGAGTATAAATCCTTCCCTTCCCTGCCATCCAGCCAGAGCTGAAAAAGCTTCTTGGATGAGAAGCGAAACGTCTTCAAAGAAAAACAAGAAAGTCCAGTTGTCTCGTGAAAAAAGCACCTTTGGGACACACTCGTCACTATCACTAAGGATGTTACCTAGTTTGGGTACTGAAACATCTGCAAGAAAACAAGCAAGCTCAGAGAGCACCAAGGACCCTTCACCTTAGATCAGCGGTTCTCAACCTTTTTAATGCTGCGACCCCCAACCGGTCGTAAGTCGAGGACTACTCAACTGGTTCAGCACCGTTTGCAGACTGGGGCTTTTGGCGGGCTCAGCAGGGCAGAGACAGCCTGGACAATTCCTATTGGCTTTTGAAAGCCAATAGAATAGACTCTCTTGAATAAAAGGGAGTAGCACAGCTAAGGAAAAGGGGGGAAAAATGGCGGACTGCGTTGTTTGGCGACCCTTGTGAAATGGTCGTTCGACCCCAAATGGGGTCCCGACCCACAGGTTGAGAACCGCTGCCTTAGATCAAGGTTCCCCAACCTCCAGTCCATGGACTGGTACCGGGCTGTGGCATGCCAGCAATTGAGCCGCACAAACAAGCAAAGCCCCATCCGCGGGATGCAGGCAGCACACAAAATCATGCACCCTCCAGTACGTGGAAAAATCTCTCTCCACAGAACTGGTCCCTGGTGCCCAAAAGGTCAGGGACCTCTGCCGTAGATCGTATGGCCATAATTGCCACACTGACTTTTTTCACCAGACGCTTGCTCACCCTCCTAAGTTCTCCCAGAGTTTGTGGGAAGAGATTTCACTTTAAAGCAACTGATTGCTTTATTGCTCTGATTTCCAGGCCACTCATTCCAAAAAAGACACCATGTGTGAGTTGGGTGGCTATATAAATCTGTCTAATAAATAAAATACATTTAAAAAAAATACTCTGGGTGGCTTTCCAAAGTTAAAAACAGAACCCCTTCTTCCAACATTATTGGGAAAAACAACCAAGAAGAAAATCACTTCCACTTTAAAAGGGCCTGACAGACCACCTAATTGAAGCCCGAAGAAAACATTTAGTGATTTGCTTAACAACCATGGAGAAAAAAAAAAAATCGTAAAACTGGGTGTAACTCATTTAACAACTGCCTGGCTTAGCAACGGAAATTCTGGTCTGAATTGTGGTTGTAAGTTGAGAACCCCCTGTAGTAAGAACGATGGTCATCTCCTTCCTTCTGGGGACTTCCTAGAAGTCACTGGTTGTTAGAAGATGCTGGGTGAACGTGACCTCTGATCTTCTTTCTCTGATCTTCTTCCGCATTGACTTTGATTTCTCTTCCAGGGAAGAACTGCCAGTTGATGGATTTCTGCCCTGCCAACCCTTGTGCCAACGGTGGGACGTGTGTCATCACTTACCCTGTCATTGTGTGCCAGTGCTGGCCAGGCTTTGAAGGGCACACCTGCCAACATGACATCAATGAATGCTTCACGTCCCCCAGCCCCTGCCTCAACGGTGGCAGCTGTATCAACAGCATCGGCTCCTTCCGCTGTTTGTGCCCATCCAACTTCTCTGGTCCTCTCTGCCAGTACCGACGGGGGCCTTGCTCTTCAGAGATCTGTCTCCATGGGGGCACCTGCCATCACATCGATGGAGGCTACCATGGCTGCCTCTGCCTGCCAGGGAATTATGATTCATCATTATTAGTGTGGTTAATGAGTGTTTGTTGTTGGCTAAAAGGCATTGCAGTTCTACCCCAGGTCCTGAGAGTATTCAAAAAACTAGCTTAAGGTGCCCAAGGAAGGTGATGTCAATTGAGGCTTTTTCTCAACGATCAAGCGAGAGGATAAATGGGATTGTGAAGGGAGAGCAAGCCGTTGTTTGGGATCTACACAGGAGAAAACTCTTCTCTATGTGCCCAGCAGTTGGGGCACTGGATGGGAAAAGTCCTGGGTGTCACCCACACCCCACTAGTTTACTGCCCACAGTATTTGGTAACAGGATTGTTCATAAACATTGGTGCATCCAAACTATTAATTCAGGTTGTAAACGGCAAGTTGGTGACAGTAAATAATTCTTCTTCTTCTTCTTCTTCTTCTTCTTCTTCTTCTTCTTCTTCTTCTTCTTCTTCTTCTTCTTCTTCTTCTTCTTCTTCTTCTTCTTCTTCTTCTTCTTCTTCTTCTTCTTCTTCTTCTTCTTCTTCTTCTTCTTCTTCTCTTCTTCTTCTTCTTCTTCTTCTTCTTCTTCTTCTTCTTCTTCTTCTTCTTCTTCTTCTTCTTCTTTTTCTTCTTCTTCTCCTCCTCCTCCTCCTCCTCCTCCTCCTCCTCCTCCTCCTCCTCCTCCTCCTCCTAAATGAAATCATGCTTCTTTCCCCCCCCCCACAGTTTTCTCCCCAAATTTGCCCCAGAAACAGAGTTGGGACTGATTTCTTTTCCACTGTACTCTAACTGTATAAGAGTTACAAGCAAAAATCCTGCCACGTTACCATTTCAAGATCAGAGTCTTGAAGAGATTTTTTAAATGCAACAGGCAAGTGGTGGCTTTGCACTCAGGAAACTTCCCTTCTAATGGCCATTAAGCTCTGGTTTTTGGGGGGAGGGGGTGAGTTGCAAAGAAGCCACTACACGTGCCTGCCACTTCTCAGCACTTTGAGCCATGCAGAGGATCTCAAGTCTTTTTCAGATTGTTGTGTGAGGATTTGAGGAAGTGAAACAGTGTGATGACAAAAAGTGAGAGGCTGGAAGAGTTGTTAGTTTGAAGCCTCCCTTGTCATTGCTGATGACACTGTCTTGTTTGCTGCACAATGACTCTAAGTTTATTGCCTCCTGTTCTTCCAATAGGCTACACTGGTCAGTACTGCGAGGTGAATCCAGACGACTGCGCAGGACATCCGTGTCTCAACGGAGGCACCTGCCAGGATGGTATTGGGTCATACACCTGCCATTGCATCCAAGGCTGGACAGGTGAGAGTCAAGCAAGAAACAGAGAAGCAAATCTGCAAAGGTTCTTTGTCTATGCCAAATCTATATTGAATTCTGGATTTATAGAAGAAGCATTTAAAAATACCTCAGCAAGACATTCGCCTTATTGCAGAAGAATCTTCCTAAGCCATTCTAATCTTTCTTTTTCTGGATCAAAGTTGCACTGTTTATTAACATAGTGCCATAACCATTTAAAATGGCCCAAAAATAGAATACCACAACTGCTCAATTAATTAATTCTCAGAGGTTGTTGGCTAGAAATAGCAAGGACTGGACTTGGAATATGGCTGACGTGAAGGAGAAGCACCTGTTCTTCTAAGCACGTGGCTCTCCGCCCTTCCAAAGGGAATGGCAGGAAGGAAGTTTGGCCACAGCCGGAAAGGAGAAATAGGTTTTATCATTCATAACTGAGGCGTGTGACCAGAATTGCCTGGCCTGTCTTAATAGATCATGAGTGACCTTTCCCATCTCGTCAACCAGGGGGTCTTCAAACTTAACAATTTTAAAACTTGTGGACGTCAACTCCCAGAATTCCCCATGGCTGGCTGAGGAATTCTGGGAGTTGAAGTCCACAAGTCTTAAAGTCACCAAGTTTGGACTCCTTTGTGTAAACCAGTGTTTCCCAAACTTATTGCCAAATCTATATTTGCTGGCTGTGGAATTCTGGGAGTTGAAGTCCACATGCCTTAAAATGGTCAAGTTTGGGAAACACTGGTGTAAACTAAAGTATGGGTAGTTCTCAACTTACCTCCACTTGCTTAGCAATCATTTAAAGTTCTGAGGGACTTACCTGGGGGGTATACTGGATTTGAAGTTCTGATGGTTCCCCCCCCCCCCGTGGTCATGTAACTGCAGTTTGGGCACTTATGGCCATTTGCAGTGTCCCATGGTCACATAACCACATTTTACGATGGCTTTGCCAAAAAGTAGCATTACTTCAGGGTTTTGGCAAAACTGCACCCATGGCAAACCATTGGTTCAGTTAACTACTATGTGATTCAATTAATGACCATCATTTTAATGGTTAATTTTAAGGTCTGTCATGAATTATGAGATATGACCGTGATAGGCAGGCTCCATTATGGTGGTAACTGGAGAACTACCTGTATAACAGCCCTGGTGGCGCAGCGGTTAGAATGCAGTACTGCAGGCTACTTCTGCTGACTGCTGGCTACCAGCAGTTTGGCAGTTCGATTCCCACCGGCACAAGGTTGACTCAGCCTTCTGTCCTTCCGAGGCTGATAAAATGAGGACCCAGATTCCTGGGGGGGGGCGATATGCTGAACCTGTAAACTGCTTAGAGAGGGCTATAAAGCTCTGTAAAGTGGTATATAAGTCTAAGTGCTGTTGCTATTGCTGTAAACATTCTCTGACATCTCAAATAACAGCTGGGGGGATATGGTCACAAAGCCTGCAGTGCTGGTGTTAATTCTGAAGGGCCCCGAAAGATGGAGACAAGGCGGCGTTGCTTATCCTCCATATCTCCTTCTCCAGGGCTTCTTTGCCACTTGCCTGATGCCTGCCTCAGCAATCCGTGCCATCCTGATGCCCACTGTGACACGGACCTCAAAACTGGTCATGCCATCTGCACATGCCAGCTGGGTTATGCTGGAGCTCGGTGCTACGAAGACATTGACGAGTGCCGGATGGGTAAGATGGGCTGAGGGAATAAGGGTCAAGATTAAGATTAAGATGCCGGGTTGAGTCTGGTCAGGCAGGATAAGATAAGACAGTGATGGTGAACCTTTTAGAGACTGAGTGCCCAAACTGCAACCCAAAACCCACTTATGCATCGTTGGGTGCCGGATGGGTGTGGCCCATTGGCTGGATGTGGCCCATTGGGTGGGCGTGGCTCACTGGCTGGGTGTGCCTGCGGTGATAACAGCAGACTGGGTGGGACTAAAAAGTTCAATCAATCAATTCCAACTTTGCAAGATCTTTTTTTTTTTTTTTGCATATGGCAGTGGAGGCCTAAAGCGAAAAGGTTTTATAAAACCCAGCTGAAGGACTAGGACTGGTGTGATGGTGCGCGTGCCCACAGAGAGGGCTCTGAGTGCCACCTCTGGCACCCATGCCATAGGTTCGACACCATTGAGATAAGATGAGATGAGATAAGATCATATTTATTGTCACTTTGTTGTGTATTCAACAGCACACTTTAAAATGAAATTCCAATGCCTACTCATGAAAGAAAAAAAACACCCACCAAGCAATGTCACCATCCCAAGGATAACAACAACAACAACAATAATATAATAACAGCAGCAGCAGCACAATCCAATATGTATCACAAACCATTGTGATTGTTCTTGGGGCGGAAAAAAAATACCCAATTCCCACAACTGAGCAATACAGGTAGTCCTTGTTTAGCCACCATCATTAGCATGAGCAACTTGGTCACTAAGTAAAGCAGTCGCTCAGTGAAACCACAATTGTGCTTACGATCTTACTTCAGCTTTCCTTTGCTTTACAGACCTGCAAAGGTCTTTGAATGCAAGGATTGGTTGCCAAGTGGCCTTTTTCATCATTGTGAATGGGCACTAAACGAGGTCGTCACTAAACGAGGACTACCTGTTTCTGAATCGGATCAAGCGTCACCAAAACACCTGCAAATTTCTGAATTGCTCCTCAGGCTGCCTCCGTCCCAAAAAAAAAAATAAACGAGGCAGAGGTGCCGAGACAAATTTTGCAACGCACCACCGCCCTCTTGTGGTAGACCCTGATTCAAATGCTACCCTCTTCCGGGGAAAACGTTTGGCAAACTTTTTCCTTGAAATAAAGTTGTCAGAATTGGAGAGATCGGTGTTTTTCCCTCTGGATTCTTCCTCTCTCCTGCTCCAGGGAGCAACCCATGCGAACACAGAGGAAGCTGCTACAATACGCCCGGCTCGGTCACCTGCTCCTGCCTCAGGGGCTACACAGGCTCCAGGTGCGAATCTAACCTCAATGAGTGCCTCAGCCAGCCTTGTCAAAACGGGGCTTCCTGCTTGGACCTGCTGGACCGTTTCCAATGCCTCTGCCCATCCGGTAAGGCTTGGGTGAGGCAAAATACAGATAAATTTCATGGATTATTTATTTATTTGTTTGAACAGATAATAAATAAATCGGAGCCGAGCAGCACTTTTTCTGAACTAATACTTTTATTTGAGGGCATTAAGCTTTTCTTAAAATGTTTAATTTCATTTAATACAGATAGGCCTCATTTAATAATAATAATAATAATAATAATAATAATAATAATCATCATCATCATCATCATCATCATATTAAAGTTGGAAGGGACCTTGGAGGTCATCTAGTCCAACCCCTTCCTCAGGCAGAAAACCCTACACCATTTCGGACAAATGGCTGTCCAGTCTCTTTTAAAAACTTCCAGTGTTGGAGCACTCACTGCTTCTGGAGGCAACAACTGGTTGCTTAGCAACCATTCACAGTTACAGTAGACCTCAACAAAAGGTACTTATGAGTTTTGATGTCTGCCCCCCTCCGTGCAGTCACATGATCATATTTTGGACACTTGGCAACCTGCCCACAATTATGGCTGTTTGCGCTGTCCCACAGTCATGTGACCCCGATTTATGACTTTTTTTTGCTGGAACCCAGGGTTTATTTCTGGTTTCTTGCAAAGAACGCCCATTGGGAACAATGGGTTCACTTCATGACTCCCATGTTCACTTAATAACTACCCTGTTTGCTTAACAACAGACGCTGTAAAATCGGGTCAGTCATGTGATGATCTGCTTAGCGACCAGCATGACATATGATTGTAATTCCAGGCTCAATTATAGTTGTAAGTCCTCAACTTAAAACAGTTGGTTTAGTGACTGTTCAGAGTTACAATGTCACTGAAAAAATGTGACTTTTGACCGTTTTTCACACTTACGACCTTTGTAGCTTCCCCATGATCATGTGATCAAAATTCAAACGCTTTGGCAGCTGGTTCATACTTATGACCTTTGCTGTGTCCCACAGGCATAGGATCCCCTTTTGCGACCTTTTGGCAAGCAAAGTCAATGGGGGAGGCCAGATTCATTTAACAACTTATCATCTGCAATGATTCACTTAACAACGGTGGCAAGAGTCGCAAAATGGGGCAAAAGTCACTTAACAAATTTTCACTTAATAACCAAAATTTGAGGTACAGTTGTGGTCCTAACTGTACTCAGTAAGCTTTTATTATATAGTAGCGGCCAAAATTATGGAAACCTTTTGGGGAAAGTGTACAGTAGAAGTGCCACCTTTGGTTACGTTTCCACCAATTTTTCTTCCAATTTCTTTATAATTGTAGCCTTGTTCACTTAATAATACTATTTTACATCGCTTTCTGGGCAACCAGTCAACTCTTTGCACCATTAGTTTAATTTTATTATGTTTTACAAGCTGACTAAATGAAAGAACACAAAAAAACCCAACCAAATTGATAACGATCAAATAACACACTGACAAATGTCCTCCTCTCAGCTTCAATACCTGACATCAATAACTGAATCCTATTGTGATCTGATTGGCTCATTGCCAAAACAAGATGACACCTGATTGGCTCTCTAAACACTGATGCTCATTGGCTGCAATCAGATGAAGGAAAGCTACCTCATATCAACCTAAGCAAGTTGTGCTTCCTTTTTCTAGTTATTTGGCTATAACGTTTCATAGAATACAGTACAGATAATTGAACACACTATGTTGCATTACATTCTTGATTTAATTATCTTTCCATTGATATATAATTTTATGGTACTACTCCAAAAAGAAAGTGGTTCTATTAGCTATCAAACCTCAAAAATACACTTTTCCCAAAAGGTTTCCACAATTCTGGCTGCTGTAAAGCTTAAGCTGCAACACATGGAAGTTTATGACCTGGTTAGTTAGAAAAAGTGCTGCTGATTTTTTGCTAGACCAGTGGTTCTCAACCTGTGGGTCGGGACCCCATTTGGGGTCGAATGACCATTTCACGGGGGTCGCCAAACAACGCAGTCCGCCATTCCCCCCCCCCTTTTCCTTAGCTGTGCTACTTCCTTTTATTCTATTGGCTTTTGAAAGCCAATAGAATAGACCCTCTTGAATAGAGTCTAATTCTATTGGCTTTCAAAAGCCAATAGGAATTGTCCAGGCTCTCTCTGCCCTGCTGAGCCCACCAAAAATCCCATTCTGCAAACAGTGCTGCACCAGTTGAGTAGTCCTCAACTTACGACCGGTTGAGTAGTCCTCGACTTACGACTGGTTGGGGGTCACGGCATTAAAAAGGTTGAGAACCACTGTGCTAGACAATATGGCTCCCCTGTTACAGATTTAACTGATAGACATGCGTGCTGCACAACAATTTGACAGATGCTTGTTTGGTCCTCCTTCTTCTTGATTCCCTTAAGACAGAGGTCCCCAAACCTTTTGGGCACCAGGGACCGGTTCCGCGGAGAGAGGTTTTTCCGTGGACCAGAGGGAGCCTGGTTTTGTTTGCTGCCTGCATCCCGTGGATGGGGCTTGGTTTATGCAGACTGGCATGCCGTGGCCCAGGACTGGTTCACAGACCGGCAGTTGGGGACCCCCTGCCTTAAGATCTTTCCTTTACACAGGGTTCAGCGGGCTGTTCTGCGAAGTTGAAGAGTGTCTCCAAGGCCGTTGCCTCAATGGGGGAACCTGTGTACTCCAGAGCTATGGCTTCGCCTGCCTGTGTCCTCCTGGTGAGTGTGAACGATGAAGAGAGATCCCAGAAACATTTTTCAAAGAGGACTGATTCCTCCATCTTCCCTAAGGAGCATCCTGTTTAGGCCACCATCTCCCAGCTTTGTACCCAACCACATAGATCCAACCTGCATCCCCAGGGCCGTCTAGAATCCTCCAGCCTCTGCTTCAGGGCTCTGTACCAATAAAGGAGAACAGCTGTAGCCAGCGGTGGGATTCTAATAGGTGAAAAACCGGTTCTCTGTGTGGATGCCGCTTCTGGAAGTCCGTTCTGGGCCTGGGCAACAGGGTGCGATATGCTGACTTTGTAAAACTGCTTAGAGAGGGCTGTAAAGCACTATGTATATAAGTCTATTGCTAAGTGTCAGTGGCTAGTGGCACGTGGCTTTGTGGCTAAAAGTCACAGAGCTCCTTCCATTTTAAGGCAGGAAGCAGAGGGAGAGAGTTGTACCCTGGATGCCAATAACAACAACAACAATAATAATAATGATGATGATCCATAATAATAATAATAATTATAAAAGTTGGAAGGGATCTTGGAGGTCATCTAGTCCAACCCCCTGCTCAGGCAGGAACCCTATACCATTTCAGACAAATGGCTATCCAGTCTCTTCTTAAAAACTTCCAGTGTTGGAGCATTCACAGCTCCTGGAGGCTGGTTGTTCCACTAGTTAATTGTTCTAACTGTCAGGAAGTTTCTCCTTAGTTCTAGGTTGCTTCTCTCTTTGGTTAGTTTCCATCCGTTGCTTCTTGTCCTGCCTTCAGGCGCCTTGGAGAATAGCTTGACTCCCTCTTCTTTGTGGCAGCCCCTGAGATATTGGAACACTGCTATCATGTCCCCCCTTGTCCTTCTCTTCATTAAACTAGACATACCCAATTCCAGCAACTGTTCTTATATGTTCTTATATGTTTTAGCCTCCAGTCCCCTAATCATCATCTTTGTTGCTCTTCTCTGTACTCTTTCTAGAGTCTCAACATCTTTTTTACATCGCGGTGACCAAAACTGGATGCAGTATTTGAATGCCTCACTCTTAGAGTGACTAAGACTTTTTCTAATAGAACAAATCAAGGCTAAGGTTGGCGGGGGTTAAGCTTTTATTTAACAGATTTATATAGCCACTCATCTTATAACCAACTCCATTGCACTGATCCCCAAAGTAAATGTATCTATGTGAGAACTAGGCAGTCAAAGAAAAGAGCAGGCAGTTCTTGATTTACAGCCGTTCATTTAGTGACCATTCAAACCGACAACTGCATTGAAAAAAGTGGTTTTCACCCTTACGACTGTCGCAGCATCCCCGTGGTCATGTGATCATGCGCTTTCTGAGTTGGTGCAGGATAAGCTCTGGAATAGATAAGGGTAAGGTAAAAGGCCAAAGAAGATTGACGGTGTCAAGACTTTGTCCCCAGGTTTCGAAGGACTTCAGTGCGAGAGAGATGCTGATTTCTGTCACGGTGACCCTTGCCAGCATGGAACCTGTGTGAATGTGCCCGGCTCCTTCACCTGCGTTTGTGCTCCGGGATTCGCAGGACCCCTCTGCGAGGAATTCAGTGACCCTTGTTGGGAGTTTCAGTGCCTTCATGGAGGCAGTTGCCGTGGGACGGAATCCGGGTAAGGATGGATCTGTCAGTTCTTCAAAGTGGGCCAGACCACGAAACCAAAGTCGTGCATGTAATTATATAAATTTACTTTTAGTGAAGTAAAATAGATATACTTTTATTATAATCCCCAAAGGGCTTTTTTCAGGAGGCAACTGGACTTTCTTGTTTTTCTTTGAAGACGTTTCGCTTCTCATCCAAGAAGCTTCTTCAGCTTCGACAAGAAGCTTCTTGGATGAGAAGTGAAACATCTTCAAACAAAAAAAAGGAAGTCCGGTTGCCTTGTGAAAAAAGCACCCTTTGGGACAACCATGACCTGGATGACTGAGAATCTCCATGGACACTTTTATTATAAGGTTATAGTAAAAGAATCCCTGCAAGTGTCAGCGCAGTTCTTCCCTCCTTCCTTCTAACTTCGTGAGAACTAGAACATGTCAAAATTTGTAGATCACCTCCTTCAAATTAAGACCGTTAATTTATACAGGAATCCAACAGCACGAATATATATATATATATATATAGGTCTTTGGTTATTCGGGTTTTCTCCCACGTCAAATTGGAAATGTCTTGGCGACGTTTCGACGAAGTCTCATTTGTCATCTTCAGGCTGGTGTTTTCAGCTTCGTGCTTCTAGGAGCAATGTGTGATCATAGCTGTTTCTTCCTTTTAACTGCCAGTGGGGGTATGAACTGATTGGGTGGGAGCTTGGCTGTGTTCTGATTGGGTGGAGGAGTGTTCTGATTGGTTAGGGGCTTGGCTGTGCTCTGATTGGATGGGGGGTTGGTTGTGCTCTGATTGGCTGGGGGAGTGTTCTGTTGGGGTGGCACAACAAAGCCCCCACCCAAACAGAACACTCCCCCAACCAATCAGAACACAGCCAAGCTCCCACCCAATCGGTTCGTACCCCCACTGGCAGTTGAAAGAAGGAAACAGCTACAACCACACATTGCTTCTGGGAGCACGAAGCTGAAAGCACCAGCCTGAAGATGATGAATGGGACTTTGTTGAAACGTCGCCAAGACACTTCCAATTTGACGCGGGAGAAAACCCGAATAACCAAAGACCTACATATATATATTGCAGCACCCCTGCAGTCATGTGATGAAACTCCAGGCGCTTTGCAACCGGCGTGTATTCCGTGTGCTGTGATCCCTTGATCACCATTTAATGACTTCCCAGCCAGCTTCCGATAAGCAAAACTCACGGGAGGAGCTGCATTTGCTTAACCCCCACACAGTTCACTTAAAAACTGCAGTGATTCACTTAACAGCCATGACAAAAATGTCATAAAATTGGGCCGGGCTCCATTAACAACCACCTTGCTTAGCAATAGAAATTCGGGTCCCAGCTGTTGTCGTAAGTCAAGGACTGCCTACCTATCCAAGCCATTCCCAAAAGGGCACCTGAGCCATTCTACATTCCCAAGCGGTCCAGTCAAGTCCTTTAAAAAGCTACGCAAAATAAATGCAACTTATTGTTCACAATTTCCTTCATTAGCATGGCAGCCTGTTTATGCAAATAGCACTACTTAATCATTTCAGTCAATTAACATCATTTGCATCATGGCATAATTACACAGATATCTTTGCATAATTTGCATCACGTTATGAGGCAAGTCAGGGAAATTGCAATGGGGAGTACGCTGGCATTTAATAAAGGCTTGCAAATGACATATAAACCCCCTGCCCAGCCTGGCCTGTCAAGCTTGATTTAACTGTAATTGTTCTGCAGGAACAGTACAAAATTCCTCTGGGAAATACAAAGCAGGACCATTTTGGGTTTACCACGGCCGTGAGATGGTAACAAAAATAAACAAAACAAAACATTAAAAAATAAAATAATAAAATAAAATAAAAAATACAATGCAATATAAAATAAAATAAAATGTAAAATAAAAATAATACAAGAATGTAATATAAAATAAAATAATAAAATAAAATATAAAAATATGAACATACAAGAATATAAAAATAATATAAACATAAACATAATATAAAGATATAATGTAATGCAATGTAATGTATTGTAATAAAATATAATAAAATAAAATAAGATAATAAAATAAAATATAAAAATTAATAAAATAAATAAAATACAATATAAAGTAATGAAACAAAATATAAAATAATAAAATAAAATAAAAATACAATATAAAATACAATATAAAATACTAAAATAAAAATAAAAATTATATTATATTATATTATAATAATATAATATAATATAATATAATATTATAATACTATAATATAATATTATAATACTATACTATACTATACTATACTATACTATACTATAATATAATAAAAAAATAAAATAAAAATAAAATATAAAATAATGAAATAAAATATAAAATTAAATTAAATTAAAAATAAAATATAAAAACAAAACAAAGCAGAACAATTCCCTCCCTTCCGCTTCTCTCCCAGGCCACTTTGTATATGTTCACCTGGATGGACCGGCCAGAAGTGCGACACAGAGGTGGATGCCTGCAGTTCCAGCCCATGCCACCAGAGGGCTACTTGCTTGAGCCGCCAGGGAGCCTTCCAGTGCGTCTGTCCCAGCGGCTACGTAGGTAACTCCGTCTGGACCTCAGTTCCTCCTTTGGGCAGCCCAGCATCTCTCAAAACACCGCTGCGCTCTTCTTCCCTGGATCACTGACTCTTCCCTCCCTCGCAGGGACAGCGTGCGATGCAGAGGTGGACGAATGTGCTTCGAGGCCCTGTTTGAATTCTGGAACTTGCCTGAACAGCCCTGGTAGCTTTCACTGCCTCTGCCCCAGAGGCTATTCAGGACTCAAATGTCAGGTGACCCTGGACCTTTGCTCGGACTGTGAGTATCCAGCAGCACCAGCTCTGCACAATCTCTAAAAGATCCTCTTGGTCGATTCTCTCACGCGTCCCTGTCCTGCAAAAGTACACGTTAAAAATGCAAACGTGAGAGCCCAAAGTTTGTTGATGTTAGTGTTTTTCAAACCGGGCAACTTTTAAGGATGGTTGGCCCTCGGCTCCATGCTGGCTGGGGACTTTCTGGAAGTTCCTTTGAGCCTCTCTGCTCCTGTATCTTTAACTCCATCGCAAGAGGAAGAAATAGAGTAGGTAAAACTTTCCTTATTATTGCATTAGTCACCCAGGAGAAAGGCTCAGAGGCCGAAATTCCACATTTGGGGCAATTTTTCCACGCATTACAGAATGCTGCTGAATGAGCAGGTAGCATCTCAAAACCCTTCCTGAGCTAAATGCCTGTTATTTGGGTTTTCCAATCTGTTCCTTTCTACCACGCACCACAGATCCCTGCAAGAATGGAGGCCAATGCAGAATGAAGGAATCTGCACCCCACTGTTTCTGCCCTCCAGGATGGGGCGGCCCCCAATGCCAACAGAGGGCCAATCAGAACAGAGACAACTGCACGGACCGGACCGGAGACGCTGGTTGCCAGGTGAGTTTAGAACGCAAAGGTTAACAGAATAACAGAGCTGGGAGAGATCGTGGAGGTCATCTAGTCCAACCCCCTGCTCAGGCAGGAAACCCTATACCATTTCAGACAAATGGTTGTCCAATCTCTTCTTAAAAACTTCCAGTGTGTTGGAGCATTCACAACTTTTGGAAGCAAGTTATTCCACTGATGAATTGTTCTCACTGTCAGGAAATTTCTCCTTAGTTCTAGGTTGCTTCTCTCTTTGGTTAGTTTCCATCCATTATTTCTTGTCCTGCCTTTCAGGTGCTTTGGAGAATAGCTTGACTCCCTCTTCTTTGTGGCAACCCCTGAGATATATTGGAAGACTGCTATCATGTCCCCCCTCGTCCTTCTCTTCGTTAAACTACACATACTCAATTCTAGCAACCGTTCCTTATATGTTTTAGCCTCCAGTCCCCTAATCAACTTTGTTGCTCTTCTCTGTACTCTTTCTAGAGCAGTGGTTCTCAACTTTTTAATGCCGTGACCCCCAACCGGTCATAAGTCGAGGACTACTCAACCAGTCGTAAGTCGAGGACTACTCAACTGGTGCAGTACCGTTTGCAGAATGGGACTTTTGGCGGGCTCAGCAGGGCAGAGACAGCCTGGACAATTCCTATTGGCTTTTGAAAGCCAACAGAATTAGACTCTATTCAAGAGAGGCTATTCTATTGGCTTTCAAAAGCCAATAGAATAAAAGGGAGTAGCACAGCTAAGGAAAAGGGGAAAAAAAATGGCGGACTGCATTGTTTGGCGACCCCCGTGAAATGGTCGTTCGACCCCAAATGGGGTCCCGACCCACAGGTTGAGAACCACTGTTCTAGAGTCTCATCTTCTTTATATTGAGGTGACCAAAAATGCATGCAGTATTCCAAGCGTGGCCTTACCAAGGCATTATAGTATATAATCCCTTGGTAAGGCCACACTTGGAATACTGCTGGTTTGTCATTCCGCCCCCGAAACCAAAGAGAATTCTTTACAAATTCATTTATTTTTTTAAAAAATACAGCCAATTGTGCGGTGCTATGTACTATATAAAGAAATGTCAAACAATTACAAGAATGATATATAGCTAAAACAAATCCATTTTCAGGGCTCTGGAGGCTGCATGAGAACATGGTCCTCTCACACAAATTCTGGAGGTTCTGAAGGCTGTGCTGGACCACATCCCATTTTCACGTGGCCTCCGCAGCCTCCAAAAATTGTTCAAAGCCATGCCTCATTCTCACATCATTTTCAGAGGCTCTGGAGTGCACCCTCACAGGAGTGCATCCCATTCTCCCACAGCCTCCACAACCTCCAAAAATTGCATGAGAACGTGCTTTCGAGAATCGTCATTGGCTGTTGGTGATCATCGGCACGTCCACCCAAAATGTAGTGTGTCACTTCTGACATACGTGCCATAGCTTTGCCATCACTGTGACAGATTCTTGAAACACTTTGAGAGCAAGCAACTAAATTTCATTTTTAATGTGTGCCGTTGTGCCTACAGTAAAAAAATGACAATAAAGTTTATCTAATCTCAATTCCTGGCAAATAGATGGGGAAGAAATGGAGGTAGTGACAGATTTTAACTTCCTGGGCTCCAAGATCACCCCAGATGGGGACTGCAGCCAAGAAATTAAAAGACACTTGCTCCTGGGGAGGAAAGCTATGGCAAATCTAGACAGCATGCTAAAAAGCAGAGACATCACCCTGCCAACAAAAGTGTGTATAGTCAAGGCCATGGTTTTCCCAGTTGCAATGTAGGGTTGTGAAAGTTGGACCATAAGAAAGGCTGAGCGCCAAAGAATTGAGGCCTTTGAACTACGGTGCTGGAGAAGACTCCTGCGAGTCCCTTGGACTGCAAGGCGTTCAAACCGGTCAGTCCTAGAAGAGATCAACCCCGACTGCTCTTTAGAAGGCCAGATCCTGAAGTTGAAACTCAAATACTTTGGCCACCTAATGAGAAGGAAGGACTCACTGGAGAAGAGCCTAATGCTGGGAAAGACTGAGGGCAATAGAAGAAGGGGACGACAGAGAATGAGATGGCTGGATGGAGTCACTGAAACAGTAGGTGTGGACTCCAGAAGATGGTAGAGGACAGGAAGACCTGGAGGAACGTTGTCCATGGGGTCACGATGGGTCGGACATGACTTCGCAACTAACAACAACAATCTAATCTAAACTCTCAAGGAGATGGGGGGGGGGAAATCCCCTTTCCTTTTAACAGTAGCTGCCCCTTCAGGAACGAGCAGAGAAAATGCCATTGCATGGAAATCCATTCAAGGACCTTTGATGTTGATCTGCAAAGCCAGCTGCTGTTAAAAAATGCACAGGTTGGCGGTGTTACCTGCTCTGTTCCACCCAGGGACCACGTCCACTTCCTCATTTTTCAGTCCTCGTTTCTGACTTGATCACCTCGCCAGTCGTTTGTGGTGCTTAAATTTTAGGTAAAACGCCTGAATCCTAAGATCAGTTCCACACAGGAACCGAACACCAAGGGAGAAGGGATCCCCGTGGCTGGACGTGTTCGTGGAGACGCTGACAAGATTTCCGTAAGTGATACTTGAATTGGACTTGTTTGCTTAAATAGTGTAGTCCCAGGTCCGGGGGTTCTCGGATTTTATTACTGCTACAGGTGGTCCTCGACTTACGACCGCAATTGAGCCTAAAATTTCTGTTGCTAAGTGAAACGTTTGTTAAGCGAATTTTGCCCCATTTTACGACCTTTCTTGCCTCCCTTGTTAAGTGAATCACTGCAGTTGTTAGGTTAGCAACACGGCTGTTAAGTCAATCTGGCTTCCCCCATTGACTTTGCTTATAAGAAGGTCACAAAAGGGATCACATGAGCCCCCCTGGGACACTGCAACAGTCATAAATATGAGTCAGTTGCCAAGCGTCTGGATTTTGATCACGTGACCCTGGTGATGCTGCAATGGTTGTAAGTGTGAAAAACAGTCACAAGTCACATTTTTTCAGTATGGTTGTAACTTTGAACCATCACTAAATGAACTGTTGTAAGTCAAAGACTTCCTGTATAGCAGAAGGCACAGCTTGCTTATAGATAGTCCTCGACTTACAACCATAATAATAATAATAAAGTTGGAAGGGACCTTGGAGGTCATTAAGTCCAACCCCCTGCTCAGGCAGGTAACCCTATACCATTTTGGACAAATGGCTGTCCAGTCTCTTCTTAAAAATTTCCAGTGTTGGAGCATTCACTGCTTCTGGAGGCTGGTTGTTCCACTGGTTAATTGTTCTCACTGTCAGGAAGTTTCTCCTTAGTTCTAGGTTGCTTCTCTCCTTGATTAGTTTCCATCCATTGCTTCTTGTCCTGCCTTCTGGCGCTTTGGAGATTAGTTTGACTCCCTCTTCTTTGTGGCAGCCCCTGAGATATTGGAACACTGCTATCATGTCCCCCCTCGTCCTTCTCTTTGTTAAACTAGACATACCCAATTCCAGCAACCGTTCCTTATATGTTTTAGCCTCCAGTCCCCTAATCATCTTTGTTGCTCTTCTCTGTACTCTTTGTAGAGTCTCAGCATCTTTTTTACATCATGGTGACCAAAACTGGATGCAGTATTCCAACTCTGGCCTTACCAAGGCATTGTAAAGTGGTATTAACACTTCACGTGATCTTGATTCTATCCCTCTGTTAATGCAGCCTAGCACTGTGTTGGCTTTTTTGGCAGCTGCAGCACACTGCTGGCTCATATTTAGGTGATTGTCCACTGGGACTCCGAGATCCCTCTCACAGTTGCTACTACTGAGCAAGGTACCCCCTATACTATACCTGTGCATCTGTTTTTTTCATAGATGAGCCTGGAATTGTACTTGTAAGTTATGGCAGTTGTTAAGTGGGTCACCAGGTGAACGTGCCTGATTTTATGACCTTTTTTGCAGCGGTCGTTAAGTGAACATTGCTGTTATAAATCAAATCCATTTTCCCCAATGGGCACTTTTTGCCAGAAATCGGAGGTGAACCCTGATTTCTGACAAAAAAACCCCTGTAAATCACGATGACATCACCACAGGACAGTGTAAATGGCTGTAAAAGTGGGCTGGTTGCCAAGGGCCCAAAATGCGATCATGTGACCATCCGGGGATGGCTACCAGAACTCAGAAATCGCATTGTAAACAGCTCCAGGGAATCTATCATAATTTCAGTCACTAAGCAATCAGTCGTAAGTCAGGGACTACACATACTCTGATCTAACCGCTTGTAGTGAAATCAGCAGCCAACTGAGGAACTCTTTGGAGCACAGATGACCGTTGCTGTGCTGCGGTAAACTCTAAATTCCCCCCCAAAACACCGAAGTGAGAAGATCACCTCTTGGTTACCTTTTCACTTGTAATACAGTAGTGACGAATCCGCTGACAACTCTTCTCCTTCCAGTGCCCACCGACACAAAAGTGCCTAAATGGAGGAAGCTGTACCAAGACGACAGAAGGTTTTCAATGCTTATGTCCGCCAGGAATAAAAGGTGAGGGGGAGAACTGTGTAAACCTGAGCAAAACACACAGAGCCAGGAACAATCAGCTGACTCCAACAATCAAAGTGGCAGAAAGCTTGTGGGGGGGGGGGCAGGTCCCAGGTGGAACATCCCACACTGAGGTAATAAATTCTATGGCCCTAAATGGCATATGGTGCTGGGAAGGAGCGGCTATGTCAGCCCAAGGAAAATGGGGTGTGCCCTCCAAATTACGAAAGAGTCAATCCGACTGGGAGCTCCCCAGAGGGGGGATATATCGTCAATAGTCGAACTGTCATGGCTACAAGTGTTTTGTATCCATCCACGATGATTTATTGGGGTGATCAGCACAGTGTCCAAACTTGCGGCACAGTTGTGTGATCCAGCACGAAGAATGACTCTAATCCAGTGTCTCTCAGCCTCAGCCGCTTTAAGCTGTGTGGACTTCAACTCCCAGAATTCCCCAGCTGGGGAAGTTTGGGCCCACACTGCTTCTCCCAACCCAGCCTCTCATCATTTTAACTGAAAGGACCTTTTGCCTGAAGCAAAATGAAAGCTTAGTGAGGGTGACTGTGTGGGCGAAGGACAGAGTAGTCTGACCGTTCTTTTTGTCCTTCCAGGACCCAATTGTCACCTGGATCCCTGCTCTCTAGCCAACCCCCCCTGCTACTATGGTGGGACCTGCCTGGCTCAGGCTGAGGGGTTTTTGTGCATCTGCCCCCCTGGATATGTGGGAGAGAGGTGTCAGGGGGTGGTGGATGCCTGCTTCTCCCAGCCTTGCCACCGGCCTGGGTCCCAGAGCTGCCAATCTGATGAACATGGTTTCCATTGTCTCTGCAACCCTGGATATTCAGGTAAGGTAACAGTACTATAGCAACAGTACTTAGACCTATATACATAGTGCTTTACAGCCCTCTCTAAGCAGTTTACAGAGTCAGCTTAGAGAACTGGAGGGAAGGTTTGCATTTCAAACTATTTGGAGAATGTGATTTATAACTGTTTATTGGAGGAGGGAATTGTGCTTTGATACTATGTGTTTAGGGGAGGGGAATTCAGATTTCGGCTTCGACCATGTACGTGCCAATGCCATGCTGCTTGAATAAAGATTCTTTAAGGCAAACAATGTCTCAAAGTTCTTTAAAGAGTATCATCTGTCGGAACCATGACAATCAACATATCGCCCCCCCCCAACAATCTGGGTCCTCATTATCGACTTTGGAAAGATGGAAGGCCGATTCCACCTTGAGCCGGTCAGAATCAAACTGCTGGCAGTTGGCAGAATCAGCCTGCAATACGGCATTCTAACCACTGCACCAACACGGCTCCAGCCTTTTAGCAAAACTGGCCTATACCGAACAATGATGAGCACTTGACTGCGGTGCTCCCTTGAAGAACGTGGCATTCGCTTGGTGGCTGTGGTGTTTGCTTGACAACTAGCCACAAAAAAGTGATAAAATCAGGTCAGCCACGTGGGTGACCTGTTTTATGACTGTCACAGGTTGTGTCCATGATAGGCAGATTCTATCATGATTGTAAGTCAAGGTTTATCTGTACTTTTTCACCCAAGACAATATTGATTCCCACAATAACTGTGTATGTCAAATTCCAGCTGTGCTTGTTGTATATTGTCAAAGCAGAAAATTAGTACAAGTAATCCTTGACTTGTAATCATTCGTTTAGTGATCCTTAAAAGTTACAACAACACTGAAAAGAGTAACTTGTGACCATATTTCACACAATTGCTGTAGCATCATCAAAGTCATGTGATCAAAATTTAGACTCTTGGCAACTGGCTCATATTTATGACGGTTGCAGTGTCCCGGGGCCACGTGATCACCTTTTGTGACCTTATGACCAGCAAAGTCCATGGGGAAGCCAGATTCACTTAAGAACCATGTTAATTTAACAACTGCAGTGATTCACTTCACAACTGTGGCAAGAAAGGTCCTAAAATGAGGCAAAACTCACCTAATAACTATGTTGCTTAGCAACCAAAATTTGGGATCCACTGTGGTGGTAAGTTGAGAACTGCCTACAAATCATCAGAAACTAACCTTGTAGCAGAAACTGCTAACATCCAATTGCTGAAGGTTTTACAAAAGAAAAGGACATCACTGGTAGATTAAAAAGAAGAAACCAACAACTGAAGTGAAAATTAAAATGAACTCTGTCCCCTTTGGGACTGTGTTTGTTCTTCCCTCCAGGACGTCTGTGTGAATCTTTGATTGACAGTTGCCAATCAAATCCTTGCCTTAATGGTGGAAGCTGTAGCGTGCTGCCCGAGAACTCTCTTGAATTCATCTGCCATTGTCCACAGGTACGAATGGGGTTGAGTCCCCCAAAAAGTAGGATTGAAGAGCAGACGTCTTCCAATATTTGAGGGGCTGCCACAAAGAATAGAATAGAGTAGAGTAGAGTAGAGTAGAACAGAATAGAACATACAGTACAATAGAAATAGAATAGAATAGAATAGAATAGAATAATCTTTATTGTCATTGTGTAACTCACAACGAAATTAAGTGCTATCCACAGTGCACACTATATACAAGTAAAAATCACAAATAAGAACATACATTATATATGCACATCCTTCACCATTGCGCTGCTGCTAATATTGCACTTCAATGTTGCACTGACTATATACAGTGATAGTTAATATGTTTACAGCTCTGGGATATTTTTCAGCCTATTTGTCTTTCTTTTTATTATCCTGTACCATCTGCCAGATGGTAATAGTTCAAAAAAAGAATATCCGGGATGAGATGAATCTTTAAGAATATTTTGAGCTTTCCTAAGACAATGGGAACTGTACAGTTCGTCCGTGGGTGGGGGAGGAGAGGGCAGCCAATAATCCTCTAGGCGATGGTAATGACTCTCTGGAGCGCTTTTCTATCTGCTACTGTGCAGCAAGCAAACCGCACATAAATGCAATAGGTTAGAATGCTCTCTATGGAGCAGCGGTAGAAGGTCACCTTTTTCATTCAGTTGTTGTTTCCTGAGAAGTCTCAAGAAATATAATCTCTGCTGGGCCTTCTTAACTAATGCTATAACATGAGCACTCCAGGTCAGGTTCTCCTTTATGACACCCAGAAAACTAAAGCTTGCCACCCGCTCCACACAGTCTCCGCTGAGAATCAGGGACTAAATGTCTGATCTATTCCTACTACTACTAAGAAGAGGTGGTCAAGCTATTTTCCAAAGCATATGAAGGCAGGACAAGACACAACGGATGGAAACCTACGAAGGAAAGTTAGAACTGTGGAGAAATTTCCTGACAGTGAGAACAAATTAATCAGTGGAACGATTGACTTCCAGAAGTTGTGGGTGCTCCATCACTGGGGTAGGTGTAGGTTAAAGTTTAATACAAAATTAGTAATTTTTCTCCTTAATTCCAAGTTGCTTCTCTCTTTGATTAGTCCATTGTTTCTTGTTTTGCCTTCTGGTGCTTTGGTTAAATAGGTTGGCCCCGTCTTCCTTGTGGCAGCCCTTCAAGTATTTCAAGATTGCAAGACTGCTATCATGTCACCCTGGTCCTTCTTTTCACTAGACTAGGTATACCCAGTTCCTGCAAATCGTTCTTTGTGTGTTTTAACCTCCAGCCCCTTAATCATCCTTTGTTGCTCTTCTCTGCTCTTTCCAAAATCTCAACATCTTTTTTGTATTGGGAGTGATCCAAACTGGATGCAATATTATATTTTGACGGTGGTCATTAGGGCTTTATAATGTGGTACCAAGACTTTGCGTGATCTTGATTCTATTTCTCTGTTAATGCGACCTAGCATTGCATTGGCTGCTGCCGCACACCCCTGGCTCATATTTAGATAGTTGTCCACTAAGGCTCTCCAAGATCCCTCTTTCAGCTACTACTATTGAGCCAGGTTTCACCTAGTCCAGTGGTGGCGAACCTATGGCACGCGTGCCACAGGTGGCACGTAGAGCCCTCTCTGTGGGCACACGCACTGTCGCCCCAGTCCTAGGCCTTTAGCTGGGTTTTATAAAACCTTTTTGCTTTAGGCCTCCGCCGCCATCTGCAAAAAAAAAAAAGGTTCAATCAATCAATCAATTTCAACTTCTTGCGGGGGGGGGGGAAAGACCTCGCAAAGTTGGAATTGATTGATTGACTTTTTAGTCCCACCTAGTCTGCCGTTACCATGGCAGCCACACCCACCCAGCACCTGACGATCCATAAGTGGGTTTTGGGTTGCAGTTTGGGCACTCAGTCTCTAAAAGGTTCGCCATCACTGACCTGTACTTTTGGTTTTTCTTGCCTAAGCGTAAGGCAGACATGTCAAACACAAGGCCCGGGGGCCGGATGCGGCCCACGAAGTGGTTTCATGTGGCCCTCGAAGCCATCCTGAAAACAGTGAAGGAACTGCCCCCTCTGCCTTGGCCCTGGCCCAGGCCCAGGCCAGCCGGGAGCCAATATACAATTTTGTGGTGGCCATCTATGCTGAAATGTATTCAGTCTTAGCTCCATAAGCCCCCCCTCCCCCCGCATGGCCTGAGAGGAACAGTGAGGCTCCTCCAGTGGACCATGCCTTGGCACTTGCCCCTGGTCCCACCCCTTTCTGCCAGAGACCCTCAGTTCTGTCCCCCTCCTGCTCAGTCCCCCACAGGCACCCTTGACGTGAACGATATAAACCTGGCCATGCCCACCCAGTAGGCCACACCCACTCTATCCTCGCCCACCCAGTAGGCTGCACCCACCCTGATCACACCCACCTGGCCCCCTGAGGGCAACCGCAATGCTGATGCGGCCCTCAATGAAATTGAGTTTGACACCCCTGGTGTAAGGCCTTGCTTTTCCATATGTCAAATTCCATTCTGAGATTTCATCACCCAGACAGAGGTCTAAGCTTAGGGAATGCTGAGTAAATGTTTGGTAAGAAGATGGGATGTTTCTTTGGTTGAATGGGCCAAGGATCTGACCTAGCATAAGGTTGCTTCTGTATCCCCTTCCCTCCCAAGAGCTAAATGGGAAAAATTCTAAGGTGCCGCCCTGTTGCCAGTGACTTGAATGGAAATAACCCAGCAACACTGAGAAAGGATCCCCTCTACCCCCAGGGTTACGATGGATCGACTTGTGATCTGCCCGCACCACCTTGTGGGTCTTCCTACTGTCACAATGGAGGAACTTGCATTGCCCGCCCATCTGGACCTCGATGTCTCTGCAAGGAAGGCTTCTCTGGGCTGGACTGCCACCAGCCTCCATGTTCCTCAGCCCCCTGCCCTACTGCCAATGCCACCATGCTCTCCAGGTGCCCGTCCTTGGCAGGTGATGCCCACTGTGACCGGATCTGCAGCTCTCCGGAGACCAGCTGGGATGGGGGAGACTGTGCCCTGGGGTTGCTCGACCCTTGGAAGAACTGCCTGAAGCGAGACCTGTGCCAGCTGGTTTTCCGAGATGGGCACTGCCAGCCCCCTTGTGACAACGAGGAGTGCCTGTACGATGGATTTGACTGCGCCCCACAGAAGGAGTGCAAGTGAGTTATCCTCAGATGGTACGATGAGTTGGAGGGTAGGTGGGTAGCTGATGCTACCAGGAAAGGGTTTCCCCCTGGCATAACAAGAAACAAAGCATAGCACACACTGGTGCGGTGTAAAGGTAAAGTTAAAGCTTTTCCTGTCCAGTCATGTCCGGCTCTAGGGCAGGTTGTTCATCTCCGTTTCTTGGCCAAGGGAGACTGCATTGTCCAAAGATGTCTTCCGTGGTCATGTGGTCAGCCTGGCTATATGCCAGAGGAGCATAAAAATGGCTGTTACCTTCCCACCAAAGTGGTACCTATTAATCTACTCGCATTTTCATACTTTTGAATGGCTAGGTGGGCAGGAGCTGAGGCAAGGAACGGGAGCTCACCCCCGTCGCGTGGTTACTGGGTCTCGAACCCAGTCTGTCCGTTTTCTAGCTGACAATCTTTAACCGTTGAGAATCAGTGTTGCTGTTGGTGACCTTGTTGCTGTTAACCCATTTTAGAGCACAAGGGGGCAGCCTTCAGACTTTAGGGCTTATGTTCCCAAACTTCTTTCTTTCACTCCCAGGAGCCTCCTGGTGGTCACTGCTGCAAAATCAGCTGGTTAAGTTAAAAACTCCTAAGTCACTTAGCCTGGCCCACTGCCACTCCCCAAAAGCAGGGAAAAAGGCTGGCGCCATCGCTTGTAGACCTTGCTGGCCCATATTTCCTGCCTTCAACCACCCGCCTACCTTGTCTCTGAGGTTAAAATGGTTTTCTTCCTCTCTTATGATACTAGTCCCCCCTTCTTTTCCTCTGTCAATTATAAAGCTGGTCCTTCTGATGTACAGATAGTCCTGGACTTACAACCATTCGTTTAGTGCAGTGGTTCTCAACCTGTGGGTCGGGACCCCATTTGGGGTCGAACGACCATTTCACGGGGGTCGCCAAACAACGCATTCCGCCATTTTTTTCCCCTTTTCCTTAGCTGTGCTACTCCCTTTTATTCTATTGGCTTTTGAAAGCCAATAGAATAGACTCTCTTGAATAGAGTCTAATTCTATTGGCTTTCAAAAGCCAATAGGAATTGTCCATGCTGTCTCTGCCCTGCTGAGCCCGCCAAAAGTCCCAGTCTGCAAACGGTGCTGCACCAGTTGAGTAGTCCTCGACTTACGACCGGTTGAGTGGTCCTCGATTTACGACCAGTTGGGGGTCGTGGCATTAAAAAGGTTGAGAACCACTGGTTTAGTGACCATTCAAAGTTAGAACCCCACTGAAAAAAAAAGTGACTTATGACGGTTTTCACCATTAACAACTGTCGTAGCATCCCCATGGTCACATCATCAAAAATTGAGGCGCTTGGTAACTGGCATGTATTTATGACAATTGCACTGTCCTGGGGGGGGGGTCACATGATCGCCATTTGCAACCTTCCCAGCTGGCTTCCAACAAGCCAAGTCAACGGGAGAAGCCAGATTCACCTAACGGCCACATGATTCAGTTAACAACGGCAAGGCTTCGCTTAACAACGGTGGCCAAAACAGATAGTAAAACGGCGTACGATCCCTTGAGTGTCTTGCTGAACAGTGGGAATTTTGGGCTCCACTGTGGTTGTAAGTCAAGGGCTAACTGTGTTGGGGGTTCTTCCTCATCCTTGTTCGGAGGGGGAGGTCCCAGACCCCCCCCAGCTCTTGTCCTGCAGCCCCCACTGCCTCCTTCCCGGGTTGTAGAAGAGGGAATGGAAAGGATGTATGTCTGCCTTTGGCCAGTGCGTGCCCCATTAAGGACCCCTTCTCCTCAGCCCTTCCTACGCGCGAGATTGTTGGGACCGCTTCTCGGACGGACACTGCGACAGAGGCTGCCACTCGGCATCCTGTGGTTGGGATGGTGGGGACTGCGCCTCTTCTGTTCCACCGGCAGAGTCCGTGTTGGCACTGGTGGTCCTGCTTTCCCGGGAGAGCGTGCCGGAGCTCCTGCGTTCCCTGGTCGTTGCTACGCGGGCAGAGCTACGAATTCAGCGGGACCGTCAGCAGCGGGAGCGGATTTACCCTTACACAGGGAAGGAAGAGCTGGGGAGCCAGAGCAACTGGACAGGGCTTCAGACGAAAGATTTAGCCGAGACCGTCGGGTAGGATGAATTCTCTTATTTCTCTTATTCGATATCTCTATCCTAAACTCCCTCCGGACGCCTGCCACTTAAAGACATTTTTTTACAGGCAGTCCTCATTTAGTGACCACAATGAAGACCTGCAACCGAGTCGTTAAGTGAACCGGTTGCTAAGTGAAACTACAACTGTGCTTACAAAATGACTTCACCTTTCCTTGGCTTTACAGACCAAGGAGAGGCTGTAAACGTGAGACTTGATTGCAAAGTTATTTTTGGGGGGGGGTCACCATTGCAACTGAACGGTCACTAAATGAGGAGGTTGGTAAGTGAGATCTACCTGTAGTTGAAAAATTAAATAATCAGCCAATGAAAATAGACCTGGAAGGGACCTTGGAGGTCTTCTAGTCCAACCCCCTGCTCAAGCAGGAGACCCTACCGTTTCAGACAGTAGTCTGTTCCTAAAAGCCTCCAGTGATGAGCGCTCACGATTTCTGGAGGCAAGCTGTTCCACTGGTTAATTGTCCTCACTGTTAGGAAGTTTCTCCTTAATTTCCATCCATCGCTTCTTGTCCATAGAGTGCTGGCATCATACAAAAGAAAGCCACACATGTTAAAGTTCCTGAAGTTGGGACACATTGAACTAGATCGAAGCAGATCAGAAACAAGTTCATATAGTTTCAGCCTTCTTATAATGCAGAAGATCATGAAATACTCACGTGGATGTTTGATCAAACTGTGTCCTTAACTCCTAGCTCAGGAGTAGGCAACCTTGGGTCTTTTATGACTCGTGGACTCCAACTCCCAGAATTCCTGAGCCAGCCATGCTGAGGGGAAAGGGAGAGGTTTCCACGCTGAGCCATGCTGGCTCAGGAATTCTGGGAGTTGAAGTCCACCAGTCATAAAAGAGCCAAGGTTGCCTACCCTTGTCCTAGCTAGATGCGATTACGATAAAAGTTAATGTCAACATTACTTTCAGGATCTCATCATTCTCAATCCTTTATAAAGAGCAATGCTCTTTATAAATAGATAAATCTTTATAAGGTTTTCCAAGTTCTGCAAAATGTTATGAAATTTCATCTCTGCGGGGAGACAGCATTGCATATCAGCCTACAAAAATCGTCTCGGAACAGGGGTGGAAGCCCCCATTGCTCTGGCTGCTCCAACAGTTGGAAGGACAGGCATTTGGGTGATAGAGGGAGGAAGCAATTCCAGGAAAATAGGGTCACTCTGCCAATCGGCCACCTTTGTTTCTTCTTTGATTCCAGGTATACCGTCTTTCTGCTGGTGGAGGGGAGCTCATGCCAAGGGCAGTGCCCCACCTCTGCCATATCTGCCCTGAACCTTTTGGGCTCCTTGATGGCCAAAGGGATTTTGTCATCCCTGATCCCGCACCAAGTGGTAGCAGCCTGGCTTGAAGCTGTCGAAAATGGTACGCAGGAACATTAATAGGAATTTCTGAGCGACAGAGATAGAGCAGGGGTTCCCAACCAGGGGGGCGAGACGATATTCCAGGGGGTGAGAAAACTTGGGTTTTCAAAATTATCGTGCATATGCATAATTCGTTGCTGTTATTTCAAACTTTTGTAAGGAGTGCGAGAATATATCAGAAGCGTTCTGGGGGGGGGGCAGGGTATAGAAAAGATTGGGAACCAGTTTAGATATGTAGATAGAGAGAGACAGAGAAATGGATATATATATATATATATATATATATATATATATATATATATATATATATATATATATATATTCGCGTTTAAGAAAATTAAAAACGTGAACCCTGGGAGTGTTCATGGTGAGAAATAAAATGATCACCAGGGTAATAAAAAACTATAAAATTTATTAAAAAGCGCCTAGCTTTCGCCGTCACCTGCCGGCATCCTCAGGGCTAGTGCGCCAGGGAGTGAGAGAGTCACTTTTATAGGTGCAACAAAGTCTGCGCACGACTCCTCGACCTCGTCACCGGGCCTGAATGGGGTGACTGCGCATGGCTGGTCTGTTCCTTTCTATTCATTTCAACTGCATGTTCATCCTCCTCCATCCTTCTTTCCCTCAATCTTAGGGTGGATGGGCAAATGTCTCTGTAATTGCAGTGGTCTCTGTGTTTTAACCCTTCTCCCCCGGGGGCAGGTGGCAATACACATTTCATGTTTATTTTGCGATCCTCCTTCGTCCCATTGTTCTTCCTATGGCAAGTTTTTCTTTTAGTTTTGATGTTTTCACTTCTTATATGGATGTCATCTGGGTGGTCCTGTAGGTCCTTTCGGGGTAGTTGTGATCCACTGATGGTCTGGGGCTGGGGGGGAAGCCGTTCAGTCACGGAGGGGGGGGGCGGCGATTCCTCAATCACCCCTGCATCCGGCCGCTTCACGCGCGCCGCACCATAATCAGGCAGTCCGGGGGGGGGGCAGGCCTGATTATCCATTCAGGCCCGGTGACGAGGTCGAGGAGTCGTGCGCAGACTTTGTTGCACCTATAAAAGTGACTCTCTCACTCCCTGGCGCACTAGCCCTGAGGATGCCGGCAGGTGACGGCGAAAGCTAGGCGCTTTTTAATAAATTTTATAGTTTTTATTACCCTGGTGATCATTTTATTTCTCACCATATATATATATATATATATATATATATATATATATATATATAGAGAAGAGAGAGAGAGAGAGAGAGAGAGAGAGAGAGAGAGAGAGAGAGTTAGAAAGAAAGAGAGAAAGAGATAGATAGATAAATAGAGAGAGAGAGAAACAGAGAGGGAAAGAGAGAAACAGAGAGAGATACGAGATAAAGATAGAGAGTTAAAGAGAGAGAGAGGAGAGAGAGAGATAAAGATAGAGTTAGAGAGAAAGAGAGAGAGAAAGAGATAGATAAATATATAGAGAGAAACAGAGGGAAAGAGAGAGAAAGAAAGATACAAGATAAAGATAGAGAGTTAAAGAGAGAGAAGAGAGAGAGAGATAAAGATAGAGTTAGAGAGAAAGAGATAGATAGAGAAACAGAGAGAGAAAGAGAGAGAGAGAAAAGAAAGAGAGAGTTAGAGAGAAAGAGAAAGAAAGATACGAGATAAAGATAGAGAGTTAAAGAGAGAGAGAGAGAGAAAAAGAGAGAAAGAGAAGGATAAGAGAGAGAGAGAGTTAGAGAGAAAGAGAGAAAGAGAGAAAAGATGTGGCATTTCTCCTCTCCAACACACACGGTGTCTCCTGCGCACTCCTCTCGCATCCTTGTGGGCAGGTAGTCCTCGATTTAGGTATACAGTTGAGCCCAAAATTTCTGTTTTTGAGACGTGTGTGAAGTGAATTTTGCCCCATTTTATGACCCTTCTTGCCACAGTTGTTAAGTGAATCACACAGTTGTTAAGTGAATCTGGCTTCCCCCATTGACTTTGCTCGTCAGAAGGTCACAAAAGGGGAACGCGTGACCCCCGGGGTCACTGCGACCATCATAAATACGAATCAGTTGCCAAGCATCTGAATTTTAGTCACGTGACCATGGGGATGCTGCAACGGTCGTAAGTGTGAAAAAAAGGGGCATACGACACTTTTTTCTCAGTGCCATTGTAACTTCGAAAGGTCACTAAATGATGAATTGTTGTAAGTCAGGGGTCTTCAAACTTGGCCCTTTTATGACTTGTGGACTTCAACTCCCAGAATTCCTCAGCCAGGCATGCCAAGTCATAAAAGACCCCTGTTGTCAGTCAAGGACTACCTTTACTCTCTCCTATCTTGGCAGTGCCACTGCCAGAGATGTTGGCACCACCATAGAGATAGCGGCTGCTGCAGAGCACAAGAGTGCTGTGTTTGTGTGTGGGCTCTGTGTGTGTGTGTGTGTGTGTGTGTGTGTGTGTGTTTGTGTATGTGTTCCTGGAGTGTGATGCTGGTTGTCTAAGAACCCTTCTGGCACTGACCTGGGCACCAAGACTCTACTGTTTATTTGTTTATTTGATTGATTCAGCTTATTTCCTGCCTTTATTATTTTTATAAATAACTCAAACCACCTAGTCAAACTCAGACCAATAGCTCAATAAGCAATAACTCAAACATCAATAATCAATTAATAATCAATATCATATTATATTATTATAATATATTAATTATATATAATTAGTATACACTATATTAGTGTATAATAACTATATTATAATATATATTTCAAAAATCAATAATCAATATCTCAAACCACCTACCATAGTTCGGCTGTATTATTATCCTTCTCATTACCAATTTCCTTAGCTTCTTATGACCATAAATTTGTTGTTTGCACCTTATGATTTATGTTGATAGCTTTTATTTACTATCCTATTATGATTTATGTTGATTTATTATCTATGACAGAGATCTTCAAACTTGGCCCTTTTGTGACTTGTGGACTTCAACTCCCAGAATTCCTCAGCCAGGCACACTGGCTGAGGAATTCTGGGAGTTGAAGTCCACAAGTCATAAAAGGGCCAAGTTTGAAGACCCCTGATCTATGACTATCACTGAGTGTTGTATCTTATGATTTATGATGATTGTATTTTATGATTATGACCATAATTTACCACTTGTTGCTTATATGTACACTGAGAGCTTATGCACCGGAGACAAATTCCTTGTGTGTGTGTCCAGTCACACTTGGCCAATAAAGAATAAAAGAAAGAATAAAGAATAACACAATTAACTCAAGGCTGCGCACATATCCAACACACCCTCCTCCTCCTATTTTCCCCACAACAACAACCCTGTGAGGTAGATTGGGCTGAAAGAGAGGGAATGGCCCAGAGTCACCCAGCTGGCTTTCGTGGCCAAGGCAGGACTTGAACTCACGGCCTTCTGCTTTCTAGTCTGGTGCCTTAACTACTAGACAAAACTGTTGCCCACTATTTTGGTTGACCCCACTTTATGACCATTATGACTTAGGACCATGACAGGGATGTTCTATTAAGGTTGTTACCTGAGGACTATCTGTACGTGTGTTTCGTTATGTGTGGAAGTTCAACGAGGATATTTGACAGGGAATTCTCAGCCTGTCCATCAAACCCAAATTCTTGGCTTGAGAAGGAGAAACTTTGAACGGATATGAAACTGGTCTAAAGACTGTAGCATAGATGGGTTCAAAAACGGAGGCAGCAGGGAAGAGCGTGAGATGGACGTTTGACAGTCTTCCTTTTTCCTCAACCAGATCCGGAGGCTTCCATCTCCCATTTCTCCGGGCCCCTCAGTTATTGCGTGGGTGTTGGGGCGCTCGTGCTAGCTCTGGCGATCTTTATCGGGGTGTGGAGGATCCGTCGAGCTCAGCATCGGGAGCATGGATCTCTTTGGCTCCCGCCAGGATTTGCACCACGCCAAGGCAAGAAGCGTCGTCGCTGTCGGAGGGATCCGGTGGGTGAAGATGCGATCAGACTGAAGTGAGTATTGAAAAGCGGAGTGGAGGCTTTGCGTTGACTGGAGCGTAGGCAGTCCTTAGGTTACGAGAGCAACTGGGACCAGATTTGCCATTGCTAACTTATCCCAAAGATGTTTTTTCACCAGGCAACTGGACTTTCTTGTTGTTGTTTTTCTGTTTGAAGACATTTCGCTTCTCATCCAAGAAGCTTCTTCAGCTCTGACCAGATGGCGGGGAATGGAAGGATTTATATCCCTTGCAGACAGCTGGTCATTTGCATTCTTTTAGAGAGACCTTGAGGCCACTTGTGAGGTTTAACTGTGACCTCAGGGTCACCTGGGTAGTGCAAATGGGTGTGGAGCCTTCTTGGAACTGTTGAAAGGACTGTGTTGTAGACCAGAAATAGATAATATTGTATCCCTCCATGAAGGCTCCACATCCAGTTGCACTATCAGGTGACCCAGACAACACAGATAAACCTCCAGGTGGCATCCACAACTCTCTAAAAGAATGCAAATGACCAGCTGTCTGCAAGGAGTATAAATCCTTCCATTCTCCACCATGCAGTCAGAGCCGAAGAAGCTTCTTGGATAAGAAGCGAAATGTCTTCAAAGAAAAACAAGAAAGTCCAGTTGAAAGGATTTTATTGTGCTTATGATTTTAGTATGTTTAAGTTTGACATTAGCATTTATTTTATATATAGTAACCATTTTATATTGATACATATAGTGTTATCATGTAATCATTGTTTTGTTATTTGGTAATCATTATTTTGTAGTTAATTGCTTGATCAGATGCTTTATATATATATATTGGAAAAGTAAGAGCTTCATGCTTTAGGTATAGGTGATTGCTTATATGAAAAGAGCACAGTAAGGGGAGGGGGAAAAGGAGTTACGGATAGAGCCTGGGTTGCTGTGTATGAGTCATCATCTAGGAATTGTTTTTTTTGTGCCATCTTATGCCTAGTACCAAGACCTGATCTCTTTGTTCTGAAAAGGTATAAAAGGTGGAAGACATTTTTTCTGGTTGTTGCCTTCATCTCTCTACCAGCCACGAAGAGAGATGGGGTCACCCAACTCTGTTTTGATCAAAATAAAAGTTGTTTGCTTGCTGAAACCTCGGCTCAGGAGTTTCTTTGGCTCTTTTAAATTCCTGAGTAATGTTGGGGCAATTGTGAGGTTAAGTGGAAAACCTTACATCCTGGCGCCCAAACATGGTGGAAGCCACAATGGCTCTCCCCTCACATCTGGAGACCCCTGTACACAGTTGCCTCCTGAAAAAGCATCTTTGGGATAACTATGACCTGAATGAGAATCTCCATGGACATTGCTAAGTTACACAGTCATGAAGCGTGACGTCTCATGACTGTGTTGATTAGCAATGGAAATTCTAGCAGTCTCAATTGGTGTCGTGAAGGTTGTTAAGCGAGGACATATTGCGACTGTGACTTCCGATTTCTTGTCGGCCTCCCCATTGTCTTTGCTTGTTGGAAGCCAGGTGGGAATTGTAACCATGGGACCGCAGCTCACTGCAATGTTGTAATTGCGAGTTGGGCACCAAGAGCCTGAATCACAATCACATTGCTGTGGGGAACGCTGTAATCGCTGAAAGGAGGATGTAAGTCCACCTCCTTCAGCATCGTCACAAGTTTGAATGGATGCTGAACGAGTGATCACAACCTGAGATTCACCTGTAATTCAGATAATTAAAGTTTCAGACAGGAAGGCAGTGCAGAGAGTGGTGAGGACGGCCGAAAAGATCATTGGCAGTTCCCTCCCTCCCATCCAGGACATAGCACAGAAGCGCTGCTTGAGCAGGGTCCGTAAGATTGTCTGGGACCCTACACATCCTCTTCACGACCTGTTTTCCTTGCTACCTTCTGGAGGAGGCTTCATGATATCCGTAGCAGGACATCCAGATTCAGCCAGTTTCATTCCATACAGCATTAACCTTGTGAACTCTCAAGCTTCCTCCTTCCATTATATAATCAAGATGGACAGTGTTTAATATTTATTTGTTATGTATATGTAGGGGTGTGGGTCTATATATATGTTGTATATAGTATGTTTTAGGTGTGTGTCATGTATGTGTTTCACTTTGAGAGCGGGCAACTAAATTTCATTTCTGATGCGTGCCGTTGTGCCCACAGTAAAAAAAAATGACAATAAAGGTTATCTTATCTTATCTTATCTTATATCTTATATCTTATATCTTATATCTTATATCTTATATCTTATATCTTATCTTATCTTATCTTATCTTATCTTATCTTATCTTATCTTATCTTACCTTACCTTACCTTACCTTATCTTATCTTATCTTTCCAACTGAGTTCAAGTCCTGGTGACTTTAGGGATGTGTCCATGTCTTCTTGACAGCCATAAGGCAGTGGCTGTAAAAGTAGGTGGGAATGGCCTTGGAACAATGGACTAAGAAGTGCTGCATAGGACAGGGGTGTTCAACCTTGGTAATTTTAAGACTCATGGACTTCAATTCCCATAAATCCCCAGTGAGTCATGCTGGCTGATGAATTCTGGGAGATGAAGTCCACAAGTCTTAAAGTTGACAAGGTTGGACATAATCAAATAAGAGACAGCAAAGCCCACAGCTGGGTAGTGGGTGGAGCAAGAGGCTCAGAAGAGACCCTCACTCGTTCCTCAGGCTATAAAGGAAATGACTTGCAAGATTCTATTAGTGTAGCTTTTACAACAACTTAAAATTTTCTAATTCCTCATCTGGCCTTAGCTAGGATTGCAGCTATATTGCCCCCTTGTGGGCTTTTTAGAAAATTGCACCAGGCCTGCAATTTCTTGTCCGTTTTCCATTCAAGTAATGACCATTTACAGGTACTCCAAAATTTCTGCTGTTAAGTAAGAGATTTGTTGAAGTGAGTTTTGCCCCATTTTACGACATTCCTTGCCACAGTTGTTAAGTGAATCACCGCAGTTGATAAGTTAGTAACACAGTTGTTAAAGTGAATCAGGCTTCAACCATTGACTTTGGCGGTCACAAAGGGATCACATGACTGGGACACAGCAACGGTCATAAGTATCAGTTGCCAAGAATCTGAATTTTGATCATGTGACCCTGGGGATGCTACAAAAGTCATAAGTGTGAAAAACCGTCATACACCAAGTCACTTTTTTCAGTGCTGTTGTAACTTTGAACGGTCATTAAATGCACGTAAGTCGAGGACTACCTGTATTTTCCAGATCAGATATAAATTCATTTACTTCCGATGTTTTTACTCAGCTGGGCAGGCTGAGAGCGTGGAAAGTATATATTTTTTTCCACTTAAAATTAACCACATTTGCACTTTGACTCCCAAATCACAGCCATCCACGTGGTTGGACTATTAAGTCCTATAATGAGTCTGGTCAATGTCAGCTGGAAAACATTTAATAGTGGCAAAAATAAAACTACAATAACTGACTTAATATTTCTGGTATTTAAAGAAGAAAGTGAACACTTTTTCCCCAGGAGGAATGAAATAGACCACCTCATTGCAAACACATTTTCAAAAAAAAATCAGGGCCCGATGAAGTTGTCCTTCATGCAGGGGTTGTTTACAAGCAGCCTATTGTACTTCTATTTTTTGATGGTGGAAGAAAAATACAAGAGGACTCAAAGACGCTTTAAAAGTTTCCCAGATTCAGATCTGAGCAACTTCCACTTGAAAGGTCTCCAGTAACCCTGATGGAAAGAACTCCTACTGTTTGAAGTTAATCTGGTTTAGATTAAGGAGGCTTCAAATCTTCTAATCCAGTGCTTTTCAACCGTGGCCATTTGAAGACAAGAAGAAGAAGAAGAAGAAGAAGAAGAAGAAGAAGAAGAAGAAGAAGAAGAAGAAGAAGAAGAAGAAGAAGAAGAAGAAGAAGAAAAGAAGAAGAAGAAGAAGAAGAAGAAGAAGAAGAAGAAGAAGAAGAAGAAGAAGAAGAAGAAGAAGAAGAAGAAGAAGAAGAAGAAGAAGAAGAAGAAATAGTAGTAGTAGTAGTTGGAGGGGCCTTGGAGGTCATCTAGTCCAACCCCCTGCTCAGGCAGGAAACCCTATACCATTTCAGACAGATGGCTGTCCAGTCTCTTCTTAAAAACTTCCAGTGTTGGAGCATTCACCGCTTCTGGAGGCAGGTTGTTCCACTGGTTAATTGTTCTAACTGTCAGGAAGTTTCTCCTTAGTTCTAGGTTGCTTCTCTCCTTGATCAGCTTCCACCCATTGCTTCTTGTCCTGCCTTCAGGCGCCTTGGAGAATAGCTTGACTCCCTCTTCTTTGTGGCAACCCCTGAGATATTGGAGCACTGCTATCATGTCCCCCCTCGTCCTTCTCTTCATTAAACCAGACATACCCAATTCCAGCAACCTTTCCTCATATGCTTTAGCTTCCAGTCCCCTAATCATCTTTGTTCTTCTCGGCACTCTTTCCAGAGTCTCAACATCTTTTTGACATTGTGGTGACCAAAACTGGATGCAGTCTTCCAAGTGTGGCCTTACCAAGGCATTGTAAAGCAAACTTCAACTCCCAGGATTCCCCAGGAATAGCTGTTTTTAGATGTTATGGGTGCTTCATCACTGCAGGTTTTAAGAACAGACTGGACAGCCATCTGTCTGAAATGGTATAGGGTCTCCTGCCTGGGTAGGGGTTGGACTGGGAGATTTCCAAAGTCCCTTGCAGCTTCCTTCTGATTGATTGAGTGACCAGATTGTTCTAAACCAGTGGTTCTCAACCTGTGGGTCGGGACCCCATTTGGGGTCGAACAACCATTTCATGGGGGTCGCCAAACAACGCAGTCCGCCATTTTTTCCCCCTTTTCCTTAGCTGTGCTACTCCGTTTTATTCTATTGGCTTTTGAAAGCCAATAGAATAGACTCTCTTGAAGAGAGTCTAATTCTATTGGCTTTCCAAAGCCAATAGGAATTGTCCAGGCTGTCTCTGCCCTGCTGAGCCCGCCAAAAGTCCCATTCTGCAAATGGTGCTGCACCAGTTCAGTAGTCCTCGACTTACGACCGGTTGAGTAATCCTCGATTTACGACCGGTTGGGGGTCGTGGCATTAAAAAGGTTGAGAACCACTGTACTAAACTAAGGCAGATAGATGGTGCTGATCCCATTCCATGTATAAAAGCTGTCTGAAATATTGGAATTTTTCTTCCAGTATTCTGCATTACATCTGCAGACAGCAAGCAGATTTAGGGGTTCTGTGCAAATCACAGGATGTAGAGGTCTTTTTTGCAGATTTTTTTGGGCCACCCTTTGGCCTTCGTTGCTCAAGGCAACTGCTCTGCTATTTGAGAACCGTTCTGGCCGTCGTAAAATAACAATCTTTCTTCTCACTTTCTTTTGCTCTCTCCTTACAACCGCAGGCCAACGAAACTCAGTACCGAATTTGCAGAAGATCATGACACCTTCTCCAACCCCCATTTCGACGAGTCTTTGAACCCCAAAGATGTAAAGGTATTTATGCTGGATGAAGAGGTTGTGGGAAACGTCCACGCCACAGGTGTTTTTTGGGGGGCTTCTCTTTACAATCATCCCTTTTGTGCAGGAGGATCTTGATTCCGTCCGTATCTCAGATCAAGGCCCAGTGAGACCGAAAACACAGACGCTGGGTAATGTCTCGGTCCCAGACCTGAGGAAGGATACCAGGCAAAAAGCAGGCAAAAATCAAGAGCCAGGTAAAAGAAGAAAGCTAATTCAACGGAGCTCAGGGTTGAAATGAGAAGTCCTTGGTGTTCTCCGAGCTTGACTGTTTTGTTCCAGATGTTTCATTACCCAAACTAGGTAACATCATTAGTGCTAGTAAGGAGTGTGGGTTGCTTTCCCTCCAGCTCTCCAGCCCGCCAATTCTTATCAGCTCTTATTTCAACAACCTTGATTCTCACACTAGGTTTAGTGTTATTATGTCTAGCTAAACTCTCATGCATATCTCCCCCTTCCCTTTCTTCTTCTTCTTGTGCCATATCCGTTATCGGATGTTGGCGATCATGTTGGCGATCCTGTTTTTATCAGCAGCCGCATGAAAAAGTGCCGCTGAGTTTTGCCAAACCAATCCCTTAGATTTTGAAGCCACGATGTCCTTCTTCTGCCTGGACCTCCCCAGCATCATCTAACTCTAAAAGCGAAAAGGAGAAAATGGTTACATCTCCATCTGTTGTCAAAGCAAAAACATCCGATGTTAGCAGCGTTGACAGGAATAGGGTCTCCTGCTTGAACAGGGGGCTTGACTAGAAAACCTCCAAGGTCCTTTCCAGTTCTATTCTGATTGATTGATTGACACTGCTCAAACCCCTTTGTGATCCTACCTATTGGGCAAACCCAGGGAATTTAGGAACCAAAGGAAGAGTTGTGCAAACTGAGTGGTTATGTAACATGCCAAATGTGGCAGCGCTTGCTGATGATGTTGTAACAAGCCAGCATTTCAGGTAAAATTTTATATATCTGACAAAGCCAGCTATGTTTTTCATTTTCCTGCTCAGTGGCCAAGGAAGAAAAACGTCGACTTGCTTCTCCATCAAAAAACGAAATCAATGTTTACATTTGAATTCTTTTCTTTTTATACTGAATGGGGATAAGATTAGATCTATAAAACAGGATCACCTAGTTCAATTAGATGAGATCAAATCATACTGTATTTGCCCAGGGACATTTGGTTTGTTTGTATGTGCTTAGAATGGGTGGATCTGAGCCGGATTTTGTTGTTATTGTTGCCGCTGGCAAATCTCAGGAAATTGGCACCCGCTGAGTTGCATAATTTCAAGAACAAATTGCTAAGCTTGTATACTTCAAACAGCCAGAAAGGCAAATGATTTTGTTCACTCCCTATGCTAAGTAATAATATGATTAGACTTTAGCTTAGAGCCACATGTGAAATGAACTATTGTGGTTTGTAATTTTATGGCTTTTGGCTGAGCTTCACATGGAAATGCCTTGTTAAGGATACAGGCAGTTCTTGACTTACAGCCACAACTGGGAACAACATTTCTATTGCTAAGCAAGGTGGTTGTTAAATGACTTATGACCATTTTTCACACTTATGACTGTGGCAGCATCTCCAGGGTCACGTGACCAAAATTCAGACACTTGGTAACGGACTCCTATTTATGATGGTCGCAGTGTCCTGGGGTCACGTGAACGTCTTTTGCAAACTTCTGATTTTACGACCGTTTTTGCTATTGTGGTTAAGCAACGCACTGCAGTTGTTATGTGAAACATCCAGCTGTTAAACACATCTGGCTTCTCCCCGTTGATTCTGCTTGTCAGAAGCCTGCTTTCCCCTTTTTCTACAGTGACCACATTTTGTTGGGAAAAAATAATCAGGGACAGACCTGAAAAATGGGCAAATCCGAAAGGGGTTCATAAGGATAAAAATGTTTTTTTCATTCTTAGGAAGTTTCTCCTTAATTCCAGGTTGCTTCTCTCCTTGGTTAGTTTCATCCATTGCTGCTTGTCTTCCCTTCTGGTGTTCTGGAAAATAAGTTGACGCCCTCCTCTTCTTTGTGACAACCTCTCAAATACTGGAATACTGCTATCATGTCCCCCCCCCCCCCAGTCCTTCTTTTCTCTAGACTAGCCAAACCCAAATCCTGCAACCGTTCTTTATATGTTTTCGTCTCCAGGCCATCTTCCTATCTTTATAAATGTTTCATGTATGCTTTTTATGTTTCCAGTTTGTGGCCTGACTCCACCAATGTCCTTGGCTTGTTCGGGGTTGAAGATGGAGAGTTCTTGGACAGACAAGCAAATGGAGAACTTGGGAGAGACGCCTCTTCACTTAGCAGCAAGATACTCTCGCGCAGATGCTGCCCGCAGACTCCTGACAGCTGGAGCTGATGTTAACGCCCGGGACCAGTGGGGACGGACCCCCTTGCACAGTGCCATAGCAGCTGATGCTCTGGGGGTATTCCAGGTCAGAAAAAGAGGAATTAGGATTCATATAATACAGTGGTTCTCAACCTTTTTAATGCCGCGACCCCCAACCAGTCGTAAGTCGAGGACTATTCAACCGGTCGTAAGTCGAGGACTACTCAACTGGTGCAGCACCATTTGCAGAATGGGACTTTTGGCAGGCTCAGCAGGGCAGAGACAGCCTGGACAATTCCTATTGGCTTTTGAAAGCCAATAGAATTGAAAGCCAATAGAATGTTCAAGAGAGTCTATTCTATTGGCTTTCAAAAGCCAATAGAATAAAAGGGAGTAGCACAGCTAAGGAAAAGGGGAAAAAAATGGCGGACTGCGTTGTTTGGCGACCCCCGTGAAATGGTCGTTCGACCCCAAATGGGGTCCCGACCCACAGGTTGAGAACCACTGATATAATATGAAACAGGAAGAGACTTGATCAGGCTTTCCAGATTCTGTTGTTATATATACAGATAGTCCTTGACTTAACAATCGGTTGCTTAACGACGGATTGACATTACAATGGAACCCTCAAAAGGTGCTTGTGACTTGGTTCTGAGGTTCTGGTGGCTGGACCACGCCCCCTCACGATCACATGACCACATCTCAGGTGCCTGGCAACCAGCTCGCATTTACCTGACTGTGATTTACAATGTTTTTATCCAAAACTGGCAAGTACTTCCAGTTCTATGGCAAAAAGAAAAAACAAAAAAAACACCCCACAATGACTGCTGTGGAAAAAGAGTTCCTAAAATTGGGTCAGCCACATGACGATCCACTTTGTGACCATTACGACTTACAATTCTAGTGGGCAGACTCCATAATTGTCGCAAGTTGAGGACTTACCTGTAGCCTACAATGAAGCAGCTCTTGAAGAAATCTTCTTTTATCTGTTTCTTGACTCCTTGAAAGGTTCTCTTAAGTTTTGCTCTTCCTCGGAGATCATTCTGCAAGCAGGGGTGCGGGGGCAAGGAAAGAGAAAGTCTGTTGCTTTGGGCATGTGCACAGACAACCCTCGACTTACAGTATTCATTTAGCAGCTGTTTGAAGTTACAACAGCACTTAAAAAGTGACTTATGACCAGTCCTCACATTTGCGACAGCTGCTCCATCGTCACCTGATCAAAATTTGGAGGCTTGGCAACTGGCATGAACTTACAACAGTTGAGACATGCTAGGATCATGTGAGATCACAATTCTGACCTTCCCAGCCAGCTTCTGACAATAACGGAACAACAGAGTTGGAAGGGACCTTGGAGGTCTTCTAGTCCAACCCCCTGCTCAAGCAGGAGACCCTATACTAGGGGTAGGCAACCTTGGCTCTTTTATGACTCATGGACTTCAACTCCCAGAATTCCTGAGCCAGCTGTGCTGAGGGGAAAGGGAGAGGTTTCCAAGCTGAGCCATGCTGGCTCAGGAATTCTGGGAGTTGAAGTCCACGAGTCATAAAAGAGCCAAGGTGGCTTACCCCTGCTACAAAGTCAATGGGAGAAGCTGGACTTGCTTAATGTTTGTGTGATTCGCTTAACAATTGCAATGGCTCTCTTTAATGAGCACTGCAAAATGGTCACAAAGTTGGATATGATTCACTTAACAACTGTCTTACTTAGCAATGGAAATTCTGGCCCCCAACTGTGGTCGTAAATCAAGGACCACTTGTAATTTGATTACCCTCAGAGAATAAATGCCGAAGTGAATAATTTGCTGAAAATTTCATCAAGAGACTAGCTCAGTGGTTCTCAACCTTTTTAATGCTGCGACCCCCCCAACCAGTCGTAAGTCGAGGACTACTCAACCGGTCATAAGTCGAGGACTACTCAACTGGTGCAGCACCATTTGCAGAATGGGACTTTTGGCGGGCTCAGCAGGGCAGAGACAGCCTGGACAATTCCTATTGGCTTTTGAAAGCCAATAGAATTAGACTCTTTTGATAGAATTAGACTCTATTCAAGAGAGTCTCTTCTATTGGCTTTCAAAAGCCAATAGAATAAAAGGGAGTAGCACAGCTAAGGAAAAGGGGGAAAAAATGGCGGACTGCGTTGTTTGGCGACCCCCGTGAAATGGTCGTTCGACCCCAAATGGGGTCCCGACCCACAGATTGAGAACCACTGGACTAGCTCCTCATGGGGCAGAGGGAGTTTAAGCAGTAAAACCTCATTGCTCAAACGTTGTAATTTGCTCTCTGTTCTTGCATCTCCTGATGGTGAAATGGCCTCCGGCAGATCCTTCTCCGGCAGAGACAGACAGACCTGGATGCTTCGGCAGAGGATGGCACCACCCCTCTCATTCTTGCCACACGGCTTGGGGTCGAAAACATGGTGGAAGAGCTGGTGGCCAACCACGCCGACCTCCATGCCATAGATAAGAGAGGTGAGGTTCGTGCACGGCTCCAACATGGTGGCTGAGTTATAACCTGAGGTAGTATTAATGACAACTCTTCCAGGGAACTGTGGTGGAAATGACCAAAGGACTGCACTTCAGAGATCTGTACATTTCTGACTAAGAAAGGGAAATAAACGTGGAAGAAGCACCAGAGAAACGATGGGGCTATTGATGTTCTGATCCAGGAGTCCCCAGTCCCCAGGCTGCGGCCCACTACTGGGCCTCAAGCCCTTCAGAACCGGGCCACAGAAGTACCGGGCTAGTGCACTTGTATGTTCGTGAGTATCCCCACTTGTGTGAGCAGTGGGCAACCACGGGCACGTGTGCTCCATTTGCGGGAACTCACGTGAATGGACCTGCGCAGGACCACTCAACTTGCCTGCCACTCATGCAAAACCGTCCCCTCTGTTCCCTCCCCCCCCCAAGCTGGTCTGCAAAACCGGGAAGGTTGGTGAACTCTGTTCTGATCCACAGAAACCAGTTATTCTCAAATTGCACAGGGGACAGCCACTGTCTTCATGTCCTATGACAGGGATAGGCAACCTTGGCTCTTTTATGACTGGCTTTTATGGCTGGCTCAGGAATTCTGGGAGTTGAAGTCCACAAGTCATAAAAGAGCCAAGGTTGCCTACCCCTGCCCTATGAGATGCAAGGCCAGACTACGGATAGTTCGCAATTTACAACTGGTTACGATGGACCTCCTCAAGGTTACTTACAACCTGGTTTTGAAGTTCCATCACCCCCTCCTGCCTCCCATGGTCACATGATCACATACTGGGTGCTTGGCAGTCAACAAGCATTTATAGCACTTAGAATTATATGCCATTTTACAGCCCTCTCTAAGCGGTGTACAGAGTCAGCATATTGCCCCCAACAATCTAGGTCCTCGCCTTACTGACCTCGGAAAGATGGAAGATTGAGTCAACCTTAAGCCGGTCAGGATCGAACTCCTGGCAGTGAGCAGAGTTTGCCTGCAATGCTGCATTTTAACCACCGCACCACCAGGGGGCTGGGATTTATGGCCATTTGCAGCATCCTTCAGTCATCTTGCCAGAAACTGGTGACATTGGATAAAATGGATATACTTAAAGACCACATTTGTTTGCAATTGTGGTGTTTAATGACCTCCACAAAAAGATTGTAAAAATCAGGCATGGTCATGTGACCTACTTAATGAGTGCCACCACTTATGGTGTAATTCCGGGCTCAGTTCCACTCATAAATTAAGGACTACCTTTAAATTAAACCTCAAGAGTTGGAATTGGCTCTGAAGTCCTTGTAGTCTTGCCTCAGTAGGAAATCTAAGATCATTGGCAAAAGATTGCTCGTCCATTGCTTAAATATCTCTTATCAAGTCTAGTGCATAAATAGGATTCAGTTATTCAGCAGTTTTTATTGTCAAGATCAAATTCTCCAAATTCTGGCCTAGCATTATGGCATCGGAAGCCAGAGCCATTTGCAGTGTATCAGATTGAAGGTCTAGCAAACACACATGCTTGGGTAGGAGCTGTGACCTTCCAAGGCCAACCTCTCTGGGGAGACCAAGTTGAGAAAGGTCAGCCTAGGGGCCACCATTTCCCATTATCTACTTATTATACATCAGAATCCAGGGCAGGATTCTAATGTTTCTCAGAATTTCCTAAAGTAATGGAAGGAAGAAAAAAAAAAAACCAGAGATGCCCACCATTATCGAATGAAGTCCAGTTTCCCCACCCACCACCCTAGAGTCAAATTCTTTGCTTCATCCTTGGATTTCTCCTATCTCACAGGGAAAAGTGCTCTCCACTGGGCTGCAGCAGTCAACAACCTCCGGGCCACCCTCATTCTGCTCAGGAACGGAGCTGACAAGGACATTCTAGACAATCAGGTAATGTACATTTGATTTCTTTCGGTGGATCCGTCTCTTGAAGGCTGCCAATTTGTGAAAGAAGTCAAACGGATTCCTCAAGCACTAGATAGAACATAAAGGAAGTTGCCTTGGATCAAAATATACTACTTAACATTCTTCACACTATTCCAGTGATGGCGAGCCTTTTAGAGACTGAGTGCCCCAAAACCGCCCCCACCCACCCACAGGGCCACCCACTGCCTCCACGGCCCACCCAGATCGTCCAGGCAGCCCAGTACTGCCATGGTGGTCACGCCCTCCACCCTCCGCCTGCCGCATCATCTGCATGAGACAGAGCACAAGGGTGGTTGTCTTCGCTGCCTGGCTGCCATGTCCTTGGCTGCGCTGCTGCGCGGGCCACACCCAGGGGCAACTCTCCTCCGGGGGGCTGCTGGTGAGGAGGAGACCATAGGGGGAGGTGGGGCTGGGTGACAGCATGCGTGCCCACAGAGGGCTCTGAGTGTCCCCACTGGCACGCGTGCCATAGGTTCGCCACCACTGCACTATTCCATCCTAGTTGAGAATGATGGAAGCAGTTCCCCCTGTCTGGATTACCTCAAAGAGGAGATGACAGGTTTAGCACTAGAAGCAAGTGAAAAGATTTGAGGCAGAGTTGGACCTGTCCAATCCTCCAGTATCTCAGGGGTTGGGTTACGGTGGGATTGCTCGACGTGAAATTTCCAGCCAAAGATAATAGGCTTTGGGAGACATAGTTCAACAAAAGCTGGAGGGCTACACGTTCTTTACTCCTGGGCTAACTGGGGTAGTGTGCTCTGCTTGATGGTACAGTCTTTTCCCACAGGTGAACAAATAAAAGTTTGGCTATTGAGAACCTTGAGCAAAAATGCCATGCGATAAAATGGCTTAAACTTGAGATTTTGTTTGTTTGAACCATTGAGCAATTCGTTTGTTCCCAACCTGGAGGGTTGAAGTTGGGCTTGGTAAAGTGAGGACATATGACACTAAGAATGGTCCCAGATCATACGGGCCTCTCTTACTGGTTCCGTTTCACTCTATCTACAGGCCCAGACCCCATTGTTTCTGGCTGCCCGGGAAGGAAGCTATCAAGTGGCATCTCTTCTTCTGCAACATGGTGCCAAGCAGAATCTCCGGAACCATATGGGTCGTCTCCCCAAAGACGTGGCACTTGAGCGTCTGCACCACGATATCCTCTCTCTGCTGGACAGGCCCTGTCTTCCTTCTGGGACTGGCCAGCTTTCACCACACAGGCCTCGCCCACAGCCTTCATCCAAATTGCACAGATGGCCATACCCACCCAAGCCCTCCCAGCTCACTCCCGTTCCAGAGAACGAGGGACCTTTTAAGGATGCTACCCCATCAGAAGAAACCATGGGGCAGACGGTGGAGTGAATCCTCGCCCTCTGCAGGAGGACACTGTGGGTCAGCGATGACAGCCTTGGCCAAGGACATAGCTTTCCCCAGTGAGATTTGCAGGGCAGGGACTTGGATTGGTGGCATATCCAAGGGCAGTGTGGAGAAACGAAGGAATTCTAGCAGTGACCTCAAAGAGCTCCAGATGTTTCTGCTGTCACAGGTGGGGATGTGTTGCAACGTGACTTGGATCCTAAGGTCATCTTACAAAATCTGAAGCATATAGAGGGCAGCTCATCCCACCTTGCTACATCGTCCCCAGAATATACTCCAGATGTGTTGGATTTCAACTCTCGGAATACGGGCTGGTGGTCCTGGCAGCAGGATTTCAGCCCATCTGGCAAGAAGGAGAATGGAAAAGACCACTACAGGGCCACTGACTTTGAGAGGAAGTCTCTTCAAATTCATTGAGATTTAGTAGGCTGTCTTCCCACAGCTGTCTTCAGAGTTGGTCTCCTTGCAAGAAGGGATTGAATAATCTGGCAATTTAGGCTGCTGAGAATTCTAGAAGTTGAAGTCCAACATAAATGGAGGTTCTTCAGCTGGAAAAAGGCGAGGTAGAATGGAAGTGGATAATCTCAAGCTGGAAGTTTTAATCAAACCTTCCACCCCATTTTTCCTGATTTGTTAATTCCACCGTGCAAGTCAGCTCACCTTCCACTGAGAACGCGTCAGGGGAACTTGTCTAAAGAATGGAATATTGTTACCAACTATACTCATTGTGCAAAAGCCAAGAAACCTGAAGTAAAGTTAAAATTCCCCCCCCCCCCCAAACTGAATTCGGTTCCTGGCAATTTCATTTGTGTACAAGATTCCTCAGGTGGAAGTTTTCACCTTAGGTGGGAGTTCACCTCTGTTTTCACAATAACTATTCTTCTTGTGCCATATCCGTTATCAGATGTTGGAGATCATGTTGGCGATTCTGTTTAACAACTATACCAGCGGTGGCGAACCTATGGCACGGGTGCCAGAGGCGGCACTCGGAGCCCTCTCTGTGGGCATGCGCACCGTCGTCCCAGTCCTAGGCCTTCAGCTGGGTTTTATAAAACTTTTTTGCTTTAGGCCTCCACCACCGTGTGCAAAAAAAAAAAAAAAGATTCAATCAATCAATTTCAACTTCTTGTGGGAAAAAAAAAGATCTCGCAAAGTTGGAATTGATTGATTGAACTTTTTAGTCCCACCTAGTCTGCCGTTACCACCGCAGCCACGCCCACCCAGTGGGCCACACCCACTCAATTGGCCACCCTAGCCAATAGGCCACACCCACCCAGCACTCGACAATGCATAAGTGGGTTTTGGGTTGCAGTTCGGGCACTCGCTCTCTAAAAGGTTCGCCATCACTGAACTATACCATCTCCCAATTTACAAAGCAGGACGCCAACTTCCTTGCAAGCAAACAAGACAGATAGCAAATGCATTTCAGATGTCATATCTGGAACGCATCACTAGAGGGATCACCAGCGAGAAAAAAGGAGGTCCTAATCCTGTTACACAGGGCTTTAGTCGGGTCTATGACAATTTGCCACTCGTCACGGCCAACTCGTTGCAGGACAAAAGTTACACTAACATCAAAGAAATGGGATGGGAAAGAATTGTTAAAGAAAGGATGCAAAAGGAAGGACAGGATGAAATGTGAAGGTTAAAAATTAAAATATTTTTAAATTTATTTTAAATAATTAATTAGAATTGTTCAATTGTCCCCCAGTGAATTGTCCCACAGCGAGTTGGCTGTGGTGAGTTGGCCACAGTTGAGTTGGCTGTGGCAAGTTGTCCCATTCCCGCTTTAGGCATCCCTCAAGCATCCAGTTCTGGAGACCTCACTTAACAAAAGATATGGATAAGACTGAGTGAGTCCAGAGAAGGGCAACAAAAATGGGGGAAGGTCTGACGGACAAAATGTGTCAGGAAAGATTAGACCAGTGGTTCTCAACCTGTGGGTCGGGACCCCATTTGGGGTCGAACGACCATTTCACGGGGGTCGCCAAACAACACAGTCCGCCATTTTCCCCCCCTTTTCCTTAGCTGTGCTACTCCCTTTTATTCTATTGGCTTTTGAAAGCCAATAGAATAGACTCTTTTGAATAGAGTCTAATTCTATTGGCTTTCAAAAGCCAATAGGAATTGTCCAGGCTGTCTCTGCCCTGCTGAGCCCGCCAAAAATCCCATTCTGCAAACGGTGCTGCACCAGTTGAGTAGTCCTCGACTTACGACCGGTTGAGTAGTCCTCGGCTTATGACCGGTTGGGGTTCGCGGCATTAAAAAGGTTGAGAACCACTGGATTAGAGAAACTGAATATGTACAGCCCGGAGGACAGAAATGAAAGGGGGGGGCATGATGGAAACCTTTAAATATATTAAGGGTGCAAATAAGATTCCAGAGGGCACTATTTTCAAGATCAAGCAAAAATCAAGAGCACGAGAGCATAACCTCAAACTGACAGAAGGGAAGTTCAAAAGTCATGTTAGGAAGCATTACTTCACAGAAAGCGAAGGGGAAGCTGGGAACCAACTTCCAGCGGAGGTAGCGGGTCGATCGTCAGTAACTGAGTTTAAACATGCTTAGGATAAATACATGTCTTATCATCTGAAAAAATAATAACTAAAATAAAAATAAATAAAATATTTTTTAAAAAATCAATTAAAAGTAATAAATAAAAAATAAAATTAAAAAGAAAAAAAAAAAAAAAACCAAACTCAAAGAGTTACCCTGTGGTGAGATGAACGGCCATCTTACCACAGGGTACCTCTTTGATACATTTAATAAATACAATTTCATATTTAATTTGATAAAATAAATAAATAAAGGGGCAGATTTAATGGCCACTAGGTCTTTTTCTGCCGTTTTCTATGTTTCAGTGTGGAGATATTGGGGGGGGGGATTTATAGGAGGGAAAATTTACATCCAGCTGTGGGCTCAGCATGCTGAGAGCAACATACACACACTTGGAGACTTGGGGTATGTTAAAAAAACGCACACAAAAACTACAGATTTATTGTGGCAGGAGCCGATGCCACTATCAACCTGCTGGCTGTTGACAATGCTGTAAGGATTTGTGGGGTGGGGGGGAAGCTGAGCTATGGAAAGCGATGAATTTCTCCTCATTTGCTAAAGGCAGGTCAACCAGCTTTTTCTCCATTTATAAATAGACGTAGGTCCACTCAGCATCTTGTAGCTGCCATTTTAGGCCAACCATGAACTGGCAAAAGAGATGAGGTGAAAAACAGTAACATCATTCCGAGTGATGAATTTGGGGATATTCCCCTGTTTCTCCTCAAAGGAAAAGCACAAGTCACATGGGGCCTTGGAAACGAGAGGGAGAGATTCGGTCACACCAGCCACCAGAAGCGTATGTAGAACAGGAGCACGATGAAGATGAGGCCGGTGGCGGCGGCTTTGGCATAAGCAGAACGGCTGTTGAGGAGCTTGGCATCGTGGCGATATTTCTTGGAGAGGGTTGACAAGTTGCTGGCTTTCGAGTCCAGAGCTGAAGGAGAGAAGACAAAGAAAACACAATTTGTTTCTGTTGTCCTCCTATTCAACTTTGCCAGGAAAAGCTGCTGGTATCATGGTTCCGACAGATGAAACTCTTCAAAAGAACTTCAAGGCATTGTTTACCTTAAAGAATCTTTTATTCGAGTAGCATAATATCAGCACTAATATAATCGAAGCCAAAAACTGATTTCCCCTCCCCTGGGCACATAGTATCAAAGCATAATTCACTCCTCCATTTAACAATCATAAATCACATTCCCCAATTAGCTTGAAGCGAGAACCAAGCTCGCCAATTCTTTATCAACTCTGAATTCAATAACCTTGATTCTCACGCTAGGTTTAGTGTTGTTATGTGTAGCTAAACACTCATTCACATCCCCCCCTCTCAGCATCATCTAACTCTAAAAGCGAAAGGAAAAAGATGGCTACATTTCCATCTGTTGTCAATGCAAAAACATCCAATGTTAGCAGCGTTGACAGCTGGTGGCTCCCCATTGGAGGAGGGGGGAGGGGCAAGGCTCAGAAAGGAGGCTGTTCAAGAGCAGCTTCGGCCATTTTGAACAGCCTCCCCAGACAAATTCGATGGGCTTCCCCTCTTTTTTAACAGGAATTGCATTCAAAATTACAATGAAAAAAGATTAAAAATGCAGGTGGTCCTTGACTTACAACAGTTCATTTAGTGATCAAAGTTACAACAACCCTGAAAAAAGTGACTTATGCTGTTTTTCACACTTACAACTGTTGTAGCATCCCCAAGGTCACGTGATCAAAATTCAGATTCTTAGCAACTGACTCTTATGACCGTTGGTGTGTGTGTATCCCACTGCTCTTTACCACCCAATCACTATCTCCATTTCTACTCCTTCAAGATCAAGAGACTTTTCTCCCAGAATCACCTCTCTTCTCGGAGCTACATTCTCAAGGTCAGGTAAGGGTCACGTCTGACCATATACACTTCCTGTAGGTCTCCCTCCTGTACCTGATAAGGTCTCCCCTCTTTGAAGGACCTCTTCAATGTTGGTCACCATGATTTTCTGAACGTCCTGGAGCTCCACGTTGATGCTGCTCAGATGGCGCTTTGACCAAGTATCTAGGTAGGATTTTTTCAGCCTCTGGATGTAAATGTCTAACAAGGAAAAATAAGACATGTCATATCTTTGCATTACAGGTATTTTGTTCCATCTAGATAAGCCTTCTTCAGCCTGGTACCCCAAACCCACCATGGCCCATGAGATTCCTTATTCAGCTGTGGCCCAACCTCGCATTCCTCTTGCTATGAAGAGCAAGACAAAATTTGGTTCTCCTTTTATTTATTTGTTAGACTTTTATACTTCTACAATCTTATCTCGATAGAAACAGGAATAACAACAATTTCTGTTTAAAGCAGTAAAACTTTTTAAACCAGTCCGCAGCCGAGGAATGATGTGTGGAATTCTTGGTGTTTTCTGAGTTTGGTTGTTTGCTTGTGGACGTGTCATTGCCCAGCAAGGCAACATGATGTTAGCTAGTTGGCCAATTAAATGTCTTCAAGCAAACATCTGAGCTCAGAGCCCACCAAGAACTCCACTGTTTAAACCATGGTTGTCAGTTTAACAGTGTTTCTCAACCTTGACAATTTTAAAGCATGCTGGCTGTGGAATTCTGGGAGTTGAAGTCCACATGCCTTAAAATTGTCAAGGTTGAGAAACACTGGTTTAACATGAAAATAATATCCCAAGAACAAACCCGTTAATTAAACTAGTTGGCTCTTTTATGACTTGTGGACTTCAACTCCCAGAATTCCTGAGCCAACATGGCTCAGCTTGGAAACCTCTCCCTTTCCCTTCAGCATGGCTGGCTCAGGAATTCTGAGAGTTGAAGTCCATGAGTCATAAAAGAGCCAAGGTCGCCTACCCCTGGTATAGGGTCTCCTGCTTGAGCAGGGGGTTGGACTAGAAGACCTCCAAGGTCTTTTCCACACGTTCTAAGAGACAGGAAGTCAGCCTGATGCTTATATGCTTATAAGTGAACTTCTATCAAAAACGGCAGCCCAGGTGGTGAAAAAAAGAAGAAGTAATGCATAACATTTACAGAAATCTTCAATAAAAATCAGCGTGGGAAGTTGCAGATTCTAAGTTTCTATATTCCCTCCAAATGAGCTATTAAGATTCCTTGACTGAAATGGGCAGAGCTCTTTCTTCCTTGGTTTTATCCAACTGCTCAAAGCTTGGCATGGCCTACATTCATGGCGGAGGTGTGGGTTTCAACTCCCAGAATTCCCCCCCCCCCAAGCAGTATAGCTATCCAGAGGGCATCCAAGTTGGGAAGATACTTTTGAGTATCCTGGCAAGATCCTGGCAAGATCTCAACACAGTGGGCAGAATCTGTGTTAAATACCAATGGTGTTTCGTTCCCATTTTGCCCCATTGAAATCAATGGGCACGTGATTCCTACAACATCAATCCCATCGATTCCAAGGGAAACAACCAACTTGGTCTGGCCCTAATCTTTTAGCATTTCAAAGCAATCCATACTTAAACATGGATTTGTGATTTATGC